ACCAAGGAACTGAGACAGAGTTATTATTACAGCTAGCGGTCAGACACTTTTCTTTTCTTAGAAAAAAAATAAAAAAATATCAGCTGAGGTATTCATAGGACACGAGACAAAGCATTGTGGTCAGACCATATTGAAGGAATGGTATAGCACGGCTTGTCTTATATCTGTGTGTCATGAGGATGTTCCCAATATATAATGTTTTACTATAAAAATTGTTTTTGGGAAGACCAGAACTTTTGAAAGACCATTTCATCTCAAGATGCTCCTATGTATTGAATGACGTTGAAACAAGTATCAAGAAATAAAAACATTGAACCGCAATAGATGTATGCCTGGGGAACGCGTCTCAGCGGAACCCCAGAAAACAGAAAAACACCACACAGCTTTCACCTTCACAGCTCAACACCACAACCTCCAACAAAACGGCAAATAAACCCAAGAATCTCCCATAATGTCAGCCTTCGCGCCCGAAGACCCAGATATCGATTATTCCTACGCCGAGGTCGACCCCGCGGAAACATCCACCCCTCCAATCCCCCAATCAATGGGCGACGCAGACGCCTCGCACGGCCGCGGCCACTCGAATAACCCCCTCTTGGGAGATAACCCCCTTGTTTCAGATCTGGAGCAAGAAGTCTTGGAAGAATACGCCCGCTTGCTGCGGAATGTCAACCAGGTACGTGGAGAAGACACTTTCTTATCTTTCTGGGATCTCTTTCACGGGGAAAGGATACAATGTCCTGGAACCTATGACCTACGAGCTATGAATATTGGTTATGCTGGTTACTGATCAATGTTTTGCAGCTCTCCGATAAACTCGCAGACCTCGCCGGCGATCCCGCCTCCATGCCCCTCGATGGTCTTCGTCTCCTTGAACGCAAAACTGCGACTGTATGCACCCTACTCAAGGCCAGTGTGTATAGCATTGTCTTGCAGCAGCAGATCTGGAATGAGAATGAAGAGCAACAGCAACAACAGCAGAACGAGATTCGACATTTCCAAGACCACGAGTATCAGCATGGGTATGAGGGGGAGGGAGACATAACCTTCCAGTGAGGTATTAAAATTGTCTATTACGTGTGATGGTTCCTTTTTTTATTTACTCGCGTATTATACCCGGGGTGTTTTCGAGTTTTCGTTTCGGCGCGAATCAGATGCGTGTTTATGCAAAAGAACATTGTTGATGATTTTCCAGATATGCCGTGAATAGCCCATGATATTGGAGAATTGATGACCGTTCATGTTTAACCAACTTATACAAGTACATGCAAAAGACACAAGAAGAAGAGGAAAAGAGAAGCATTATATACACGCTGGGACGAAACAGCAAGTTAAGGCTGTGGGCCTTAAACCTTGCCTGCGTAGTACACCTTGCGCACATCGACAATCTTCCTGCCGAGTGCGTGAGCAACCATCTCTGGGTTACGCTGGCTCATGAGTGCCTCGTAGGCGGCCTTGACTGTGTTCATTTGGTTCCTTGAACGACCAACTCGGGCGGACAGATCGTGAATACCGCTAGCACGGCACATCTCGTAGATGAGGTATTGGACACGGAGTCCGAATCCTATTATTGTTAGCAAAAGAACATGTCTGGGGGATGACGATAGACATACCTGGTGGACGGTGCATCAGCTGCAACTCTGTGGCTCCCACCTTGCCCTTGACATCGCCATAGATGGTTCGCTTCTCGTAGCGGGGGATGGGCTGCATGTTTCGAATCGCACGGTATTGCGACTGGACCTTTGCGTCGGAGGCTTCATCGGATTTGGCCTCACCGATACCCAGGAGACCATTTCCGTTACCGGCAATGGAAAGACGGTATGCACGGCGGACCTTTCCTAGTCGAGTCTGGTTGGTGACGCTGTGTGAAACAAGGGTCTTGATGCGGAGGCCCTTGACCTGGGACTCTGTGTAACCCGTAGCCAAGAGCAGGCTTCGGAGGGCGTCTGTCATTTCCTCGGCAGCTGCCGATCGCTCCTTTTCGCCCTTCTCGGCGGCTGTTTTCTGCTCTTCAACACGGGGCTCGTCGATGGTCTCTCCGGGCCCGAAGAGATCCGGAACAAGTGCACTGTGCGGGGCCAGCTCGCTCTCCTCCTTGCCGATGGTGAGGCGGAGGTTGTCCGCGAACCGAACGAAGTCTGAACCTGTCGCAGTATCAGGCATCTCAGCAAAGAACTTGCCGAAGTCGCTCGCGAAATCATCCTCGCTCTTCAGCTTGAAATTGTAATCCGAGTTCGACTCCGGGGCGCGCTGGTGTCGATCAACGCCGGGCTCAATCACTGAGAAGTCGTCGATGTATTTGAATGCCATGGGATCACTGCGCTCCTTCATCTGTTCTGCCAGATCCTTCGGGTCGATAGCAGCTTCGCCGGCTTCGATGGCGGCCATCTGTGCCTCCGAGTACTCCTTGGCGAGCTCGGCCTTCTGCTCGTCTGTGTAAGGCTTGTAGTCCTCCACCCGGGGAGCCTTAACATTGGGGAACTTGGGTTTCCGGTTGGAGAGAGGCGCGGGAGTAGGATGGAATTGGCGTCGAGGAACTCGCGTGCTTGGGGTAGCAGTACGGGTGAAGCTGCATAAAAGGCATCGTGCTGGCCGTGTGATATTCATGATGGCGGTACGATGGGCTCCCCAGCCAAAGGTAGGCCGGTTAAGAGCTTTAAAAATAAAGAAAACGCGAAATGCGGAGACAATTGGGGGACGCAAAGGCAGAAGAGGCCAGTCGGAGGTGAATCGTCGGGATGAATTTCTTTCTTGCGGGCGGTCAGTCTCCAACCAATCAGCAACGCGTTAGATACGTTTCTAATAAATTTCCCATTTGATGATTTTCGTTCCAGAATTTATTTCGTTGTCGCTTTCCAACTTATATGTTTGCAGTACGGTCATCTGTTTGGCGGTTGACTTCTTCTTTGTCTTCCCAGACTCTAACGGCCCTTCAAGTGCGTCCTGCCTCTAGATTATATTACCACCGCCGTTCAACGAATGCGCCAGTCCCCGCAATAATGCAGAACGCTCCCAAAAAACACTTCGACGGCAAGCGCAAGAAGCCAAGAGTCGACAAGAACAACAAGAGTAGTGGACATGACGAGGTCCTGCTTTGCGACATCAATCAACTCATCAAGCGCAGCGAAACCGAGCAGGCTGAGACCAATGGCGACAGCGAGCCTCTGACCCTTCCCGAGAAGTTCACCGAGATTGATGTCAAGATTGCCGAGCTTTCTTCAACAGGCGATGGCCTAGCACTCGCCGAGAATGGAAAATATGTCTATGTTGTTCCCTTCACAGTCCCCGGAGACACCGTGCGGGTGAAAGTGGTCAAGCATTTCGAGTCATTGTCCTACAGTTTGACGGATTTCGTCAAAGTGATCGAACCGGGTCCTCAGAGAAACGATGCGCTGATCGGGTGTAAATACTTCGGCGAGTGTTCTGGGTGCCAGCTTCAGATGATGTCCTACGAGGACCAGCTTGCTCACAAACGGCGCATCGTGGAGAAAGCCTATGCCAATTTCTCTGGGTTGATCCCTGAGCTTGTTCCTACTGTTGGAGAAACATTTGCTTCACCAATGCAATATGGATATCGTACAAAGCTCACACCGCATTTCGCACATGGTGGCTGCGGAAAAGGTGCTAAGAAGGACGGCGAAGAACCGCAGGTCCCCCCGATTGGATTCACATACAAGAACCGACGACTGGATATGGACATCGAAGACTGTCCTCTTGGAACAGACATCGTGCGTCGCGGACTCACTAGTGAGAGGAAACGAGTTGCGGAGAACATTCGCTCTTACAAGCGAGGTGCGACTCTCCTGATGCGGGAGTCTACCGCACGAATCCCCAAAGACGCCCCGGCTCCTGCGGAAGGAGAGACTCCCACTGTCGGCGGAATTGCCGCCACTCCCAACGCAGACACAGGCGATGTGATTCGCATTGAGCGCGAAAACTACATTGAAGAAAAGCGCTGTGTCACAGACAACAATGCCACATCCTTCGAGTATGTCGACGACTATATCTTTAGCAACAAAGCAGGTGCCTTCTTCCAAAACAACAACTCTATTTTGTCCGGCTTCACAGAGTACATACGCTCGCAAGCCATCCCCGCAGGCAACGACCAAGACGCGAAGCCAATCAAGTACCTCTTGGACGCATACTCCGGCTCCGGTCTGTTCACAATCACCCTCTCCCCATTGTTCAAGTCCAGTCTCGGTGTCGATATTGGAGGTGATTCCATCGTTTCAGCACGCGAGAATGCTCGCGCAAACAATCTTCCCAACACAGGCTTCGCTGCTGCCGACGCTGCCACTCTCTTCAAGGACGTTCCCTACCCGTCAGACCAGACTTTGCTGGTTATTGACCCCCCTCGCAAAGGCTGTTCAGAAGACTTCCTGCGCCAGATGCTTGATTTCAAGCCGCGCCGTGTTGTCTATGTCAGCTGTAACGTCCATACCCAGGCTCGTGACGTTGCTGTTATGGTGCAGGGTGATGAGAAAAAGAATGTCCGCTATGAGATTGAGAGCGTTCGTGGCTTCGATTTCTTCCCTCAGACCGGCCATGTGGAGGGTGTGGCTATCTTGAACCGTACCTCTTTCCCTCAGATTGAGACTGTTTGAGTGATGGAATGTCTGAAAAGTAATACCTAGTCTTGAGCTTTTGTAGGCTATATATTTGCCTGATGTTGCATATTTCACGGCGTTCTGGGAGGAAAATCCAAAAATGCATGATGACGATAGTGGATATGTACGCTGTTTAATACATTTTCATTTCATTTTGGACTTTGTTTTAAAATATCCAGGCCATAGACTGCCAACTTGCTCTACGTTGTAAATTGGCATCGAGTCCACTGTAGAAAATGCGGATGAACACCGGCGCCAAACCGTTTTGGGTAAAAAGAAAATAGAGAGCACCACCGAAGTAAGAAAGAAAGAGATAAAACAACGAACTATGAACAAAAGGCTGAGCTACATCGATTGACAAGTATCTAATGATAAGGTTCACTCATTTTCCCCCTACGAGCTTCCTGGGCCACCAAGCAGCGCGAATCGCCGCACAATGCTGGGACCTATCTCGTCATACTCCGCCTTAGTGTGGCAGTAGCTCCGGAACTCAGGCGTCTGGCCCAGCAGACTACCTCCGAACCAGGGGCCGTGGCGCTGGCGCTTGTGGGTGACAACAGCAACATCGAGACCACCACTCCGTGCGCCACCGCTACGAGCCTCGGAGGCACGAATTCGTGCATCAACCAAGTGACGAATGTCACGCTGTAGACGACGACCAAAGTCCTTGTACAGAGTAGAACCACCAGAGAGCACAATGTTCTTATAGAGACCTCTCCGGACGTCAATCGGGGAGGACTGGATGACGCCGTCAACAACATTGGGGAGCGGGGTGAGGAAGTCGGACGAGTAGATTTCAGGGTTGAAGAAAATCTCCGGAGCGAGGAAACGTTCATATCCAATGTCAATGTTTACACTTCGCCCGTTTGGCGCAGTGACGGTGTGCTTCAGGAAGCGATCTGGCTCGCGGTCGTAACGTGCGAACTCCTTGACAATATCGGGGCTGACGTAACAGTACTCCTCCTTCACTTTCTCTGCTGTCTTCAAGCTGCTGTCAGGCTCGCCACGGTCACGTAGCAAGCTCTGCACGAAATATGTGATGTCTCGTCCAGCAATCGGGATACTCTTGATGGAGGACCCGATGACGTAGCCCTCGGCGACGGGGATAACGTGGGTAACACCGTCACCCGAGTCGATGACGGTTCCGGTAAGGGATCGGTCTGTCACCTTGGAGGATGTCCATGATGCGGCAAGGGCGAGAACTGCTTGCACAGCAATGTACAGACCGGCGCAGTTGAACGACTCGAACATGATTTCGGCGGTGTTCTCGCGGTTCTCGGGAGGGTTCAGAGGCTATAATTAAGAAATGTTAGGTCTCATCATGTTAAAGACAGCCAGCTACCATGCGTAGTCGCCTTACAGGTTCGGTGAGTAGGAAGTAGTGGTCCTCGGGCTCCACGCGTAGATATTTGAAGATCGAGTTCGACCAGAATCGTTCCATGTGGTCCCAGTTCTCAATCTGTCCATGCCTGATCGGGTAATTAACGCCATATCCTGGGCCATTGCCCGCAGCCAGCGCTTCATCGCCGATAAAGAAATCCAGGTCTTCAGTGCCACGCTTTGCAGACAGGTTGGAGCTACCCCCGCCAGTACCTAGGAATGAGGGCTTGTTTGCGACTGGGGGCCGGCCCCCGGAGCTCCCGGCACTTCCAGCAGCCCTAGTTGCAATTGCAGTCGGAAACACAAATGAGGGGGAGTCGTTACCGGCGAAACCTATAATAGTAGACGTAGTATGTCAGCCTAATCTGTGATCGCGAGCTCCCTAACCACTACAGACAGCACATACCAAGCTTGGAATAGCCAGTTCCGCTAGAGAGAAGTATATAGTAAGCATTAAATATTAATTTGATCCTTGTAGCTGTGAACTTACTTGTCCATGACAACGGCTGGGGTTTGGGACGCCATGGCGGGTGGTTGGGCCTGGGCACGATCACGATGTACGGAGCTGAAAGAAGAATAGGTGATGTACAGAACGAGGCAATAACGAGGGAATCGGCTGAATATCAATTGGTAGCCGAAATCGCCCTGACTTCAAGAGACCAAGAGGACAGGCAGACAAGGCGGGGGGAGATGCAGTGCCCGGAGGTCAGATTACCTAAGGGGTCACACGTCAACCCGTGGACATCATGTGCCGGGAAGTATCAAAATATCCTCAGTTTCAATGTTTTCTACATAAAAGGAAACAAGCAACCATTGAAGATATCCTGCCTAGGTGATGTCCACTTTTACCGCCTACCTTTCACATGAAAAGTGAAACTTGACAAAAATGGCAAGAACGACCAATGCTATGAGAACTCCCATAAATTTGCAACCTTTTCCTTTTCTTACTATCCATTCGCACATCCCCAATTCCTAAGACACTCTTTCTTCTTCATTCTTCATTTTTCTTCATTCTTTTATCATTACAACAATATCATTTCTGACGAATGGTGCACGTGCAGTGCTGCCCTTCATTTCGTGTATTCTTCCTCTTACCTCGACACGGATGGTCTTGCCGTAGGCTCTTGTCTTCTCTTGCTTCACTTCCCGTGCCAAAGTCTGCCATAGCATTAGAGCATTGGTTTCCAGTGGTCTTTTAACCCGAACGTCCAGGAGGTCAATTGCAAGTGCAGTACTCAGAAAGGCCTACTGCATTTTGATCAACAATCTGCGAAGCCCATCACGGACAAGTCCAAGGCTTGCCAGCTCACACGTCGTGTCCATACCGTCACTTTAGCCTGATCTCGTGGCAAACCGAATACTCCCAACATACCCAATTCGATATCTCATCTTTGATATTTGGGCGCAATCGGTGACTAGATATCTTACGCAAGACATCCTATCCTTGACCCGAGTCTGATACCTCGGTCACAGTCTTGTATTAGATCCAGATATTAACATGTCGCAACCTTTTGGAGATGAGGCCCTTTGTGCCATCTTCATTCATGCTGGGGCGGGTTTCCACAGCCATGAGAATGAGCACAAGCATTTGAAGGCCTGTGAAGTGTCAGTTGCAGTATTGTATATATTTGATGGTTACAGAGTCTAACAAGTGAATTGAACTAGAGCTGCACTCAAGTCCATGGCATTCTTGAAGGGTGGTGGCACCGCCATTGATGCCGTCGAAGCAGCCCTGATGGTGCTTGAAGATAATCCGATTACAAATGCAGGGTTTGGAAGCAACTTAAACGCAAAGGGAATGGTTGAGTGCGATGCCTCGATTGTCGATCATCTTGGGATAAGTGGAGCGGTTGGAGCCGTGCCAAGTGAGTTTGTTGCCTCTCTTTAGAAAGTCCTGCCTAACATCTGAGCCTACTAGACATCAAGAATCCGATCATGCTTGCTCGGAAGATTTATGACAAGTGCAATGTACAAATGGGCATGTCAAGGGTGCCCCCGAACTTCCTGGTCGGGGAAGGTGCTAAGGACTTTGCATGGGAGAATGGCGTCGTGATCGTTCCCAACGAATCCATGGTCTCGCCCATCGCTCTAGAGCGTTATCAGGTATGGGCTGCAGAGCTGGCAGAATATGAAAATGAAAGCAGCAGCGAAGCGATAGATCCCTGGATTCGCCGGCCCATGACTCCCATTGACACTCGCATCGAACGTCTTCCGAGTGCTTCTCAAGCCGACACTCATCCTGCTAGCCAATCGGCGGACGAGGAAATTAGAATTCTGCCCGATTCAAGCGGTTTTGCAAATGTGAAGGGGCGCCCGGCATCATCACTGGAGCATGAAACTCAGAAAAAAACCAAGCGTGCAAATCTCCATCTACCTGTGCAGCTGCCTACCTCAACCGGATCCTCATCTCGGGATGGCAGCCCTGATACCCCTGATACTGGAGCTAGTGAACAAGACGAGGAGGACAGTATCACAGACACTGTTGGCGCGATCGCCATTGACAAGTATGGAAACATTGCGGCAGGATCTTCTTCTGGTGGCATTGGCATGAAGCACCGAGGTCGAATTGGACCTGCAGCCCAGATTGGCATTGGCACCCATATTATCCCGCAAGATCCAACTGACCCAGATGGAACCACATGTGCAGTCGTTACATCTGGAACTGGAGAGCTCATTGCCTCAACAATGGCGGCAAGCACATGCGCGACACGGATGTATTACAGTCAGAAGATGGGTGACAACGGAGTTTTTACTCATGTCATGGAGGAAGAAGCTCTCAGAGCGTGGATGCAAAAGGAGTTTAACGGTATGTCATCTATTCACTGCTGGCATTTCCAAACACTAACATTTGTTTGCTTTTCTCTATTAGAACACGCTGCTGTGAGTAACAGCGTTAACTTTGGAGCCCTCGGAGTGGTCATTGTGAAGAAAACCAATTCCTCCATTGAACTCTACTTCGCTCACAACACCGAGTCTTTCGTGAGTCTTGCATTATTGTCACTACGTAGGACTGGCCGCTAAACATTCTTTTACAGGTCGTTGCCTCCATGTCTAGCAAGTCGAATATGCCTTCTTGTCTAATGTCGCGAGGCACGCGAGGACACATCGCCCAGGGAGGTTGCCGATTTAGACTTCACTGTAAGTTGTATCAAGTTGAAAATATTAACTGCGAATGCTGAACACAGATGATTTAATCAGAATTGCAATGGGTCCTTGATGGGAAGTACGACTATGTTGCAGCGAAGCCCCTTTGCTCTGCCGACTTCTGGTCTGTTGGTACTCATCATGGACATGATAGTTTTCGCTCTCAACCGCCTGTATCTGCTTCAGTCCATCCATCACCTTCGCATTCTCCGCGGTGGTAAACCCAATTCCCCGTTGTGTTTCATGGCCCTATGACACCGATGTGTCACTTACATGCCGAGGGCCGACAACACGAGCCATTGTTTCAATGGCTCTTTGCTTTTCCTGAATAGTCTCCTTTGGGACCGGGCACCAACAATGTGATCAGAGTATGTTTCAACAAGTCCCGGCCTCCACCACTGTGTATCTATTCGTTTCACAATAGTAAAATGAGGGCTGCCCCAAATTATTTCTTTGTAAACCAACTACATGTAGTGTTGCTCATAGAAACAAGCCCATTTGTGTTCCTGGAATTGATATTCAGGACCCAACAAAGGTTATTTCTTTCCCTATGATATGACCTTCCGCGGAAGAGATATCAAGGGCCCGGTGTAGGCGTGGACATAGGCGTCCCCGTACCGGATGCCCCGTTAACACGCTTCTTCTTTTTCTTCTTCCTTGGTAACAGAGCAGGCTTGGCATTATCTCCAATATCCAGATGTGTGCCACAAGTCATGCAGTCATCACCGGGGGGCGGCTCACAGAAGATACTGAGACAAATGGAGCACACGAATCCAACATCAACCACCCGTCGATGACAAAAGCAAGCAGCACGGAAATCCACATCCACCCGCGTTGGAAGAACCAGATGGCGACGCGAGCGCTGATCCGGTAAAAACGCCATCATCAGATACTGCAGCAGACCGCGTGGCTCGGAAAGAGCCATATAAACACCCTTGGTAGCATCAGACGCTTGTTGCAAGAAGACCGCATCGCCACTGAGCTTGCACACATCTATGGGAATGCTCAAGCGCTGGCAGGCAAATATACTGTTCATGATAGGGATATACTGGTGTGCAGCGTCGGTAGACCCGCTCACCGAAATGACCAAGATGCGACTCTGTAGCCGTTCGTCCTCGTTCGACGCTGAGTACCGATTCGTCGCGGTGCTCCCATTCCCGCTGCCCTCGGCTGCGTCTTCGGCGTTGGCGCCGCCGTGTTCCTCTGCCCAGGCGAGCGTGCGTCGGTTCGTGTGGCTCAGGGCAAGAGTTAGCGCTCCCGCTAGCATGGTTGACATGTTGCTGCGTAGATCGTCGCCTGTCGTTGAGTCCATTAGGTCTTTGAGGTTGCGGGTGACCTGCTCTTCAACGAGGCGGAAGGGGCGGTATTTGTTTGTTTCGGTTGGGGTGTCGGTTGTGCCGTTCATTGCGACATCGCCGTCACGGTCCGTGGAGTGCTTTCGGGGTGCATTGTGGGTTGGGTAGAGCCATGCTGCTTTTTGGCTGTGCGATGCAACGACGGCGACTTCGTTGGCGTAGTTGCAGGCTAGGTGGGCGTTGATGAAGACTAGGATGTTGGCGATTGCCTTGGAGAGTGGGAGGGAGTCTTCGAGGAGGGCCCAGGCGTGTGGGTTTGTGTCGATGACTATGGTGAGGAGGGATGGGGGGAGGTCTAGATGGTTATCTGGTTAGCTGGTTGTTCGATTCTTATATAGGATAGCGAATACGGACCGGTAGCTCCCAACTCATAATGCTCCGAGGCATCTACGGAATTCATTGTGTTGAGATACGGTGGATCAGTCGAGGCTGGTGTTCATTATTGTTGGCTGGGGCTCTGTGAGACTGATGCCAGGCCGATTAGACTGGGATCCCACTGCATGTACAGCCAGAATTTAATTTGAGTCCAAGCTCAAGCAGTATTCGGCACGTCAATTGAGGATCTTGAAGCGATAAGCCAGTCACGGGGTGATAACGACTGCTATAGCTCCGGAGTCGTTTCCCATATCCAATGTACCACTACCACCTACGTCAGGACTTTGGTTTCATACTCTTTTTTACATACATGAGTGCTAACACTTACATTCTAACACTGACTTGGCTCTTCTGGATCTTCAACTGACTCACAAGTGATTCGGAACCTGGGCCGGAGCTCACACTCCAATCGGATTGACTCCCACGCTGTGATGCCGTGGGTGACTGAAAGTACCTCGAATTTATGAGCATCTTTTGTTGAGATGTGTTCTGTTTCGGTTTGAAAGAAAGGACAAAGTGTCTCTCTTGGCATATCCCTTGAATGCGCCAAGATGTGACTATTGCATATGTATTCTCTACGAAAGATACCTTTCTATAGGGATCCAGCGGAATTAACAGGATCACCGGAAGGCTTGGAAGCCATAAAATAGTATTGTAACACCAAATATATAGAAAGACTCAGCTGAGTATATGCTTATCCGCAACGTGACGATGTTCGGTGATGTGGTTGGTGTCTTATCGGGCCAATTGATAATGGTGTTTCGTGCAGGAAATAAGATGGAGGTCGGTCTATTATTACAACATGTCTGGGGAAAAAAAAAGTATAAGGTGTCATAAGGAATTCCAACGGGCCAACGCGGCAATGTGAAATATTCCATATATATTAGTTCATCCATTTCTCTCCCACCCGTAGACCTCCTTTTCTCCTATATTCTCCCCCACATAGCGGTTGTCTGTTCCCACCTTATCTTTCCGCTCCGCCCCTCATAAGAAAAATCCTTGGAAAGCTTCTCTCATCCGCTTTACCTTCCCACTTTATAACCGGAGTCTACATTTCCGGTTTTCTCTCGCGCAACCCTGCAATGGTTCAAGCAACGGGAGAAGAACGCGCTGTACACCTGGCCCGAGAGGCTGTCGAACTGGTCGACGCGGGTCACCGAGAGGTAATCTATTTCTTGAACACCAGAAGCTAGCGGAGTACTGATATGTAACTGAATAGGCTGCTTCTCGTAATCTTAGAGAGGCCCTTTCGATCGCTCCTGAAAATCCTCAAGTGAAAGCTGCCTTCCTGAAAGTTCAGCATGAAGACAAAGACGGTCACCAGCTTCTCGATCTTTGCCGCCGATACACCACACAGAAAGATGAAAAGGCAGGCAAAGAAGCTGCTATCTATCTTCGGACAGATGGCCTGAAATCCCCGGAAACTGTCGCTTTGGAATGCCTCAAATTGTTGCTCGCACAGCGCCCGCACTCTCTCTCGACGACACAAGATGAGATCATATCTGGATTGGTGCGACAGAATGTCAGTGTTCGACAATACTTCTCTACAGAGCTTCAGACTTCTGTCACAACATTCTTCGATGAGATTTACGACCGAGGTGATGGAGCAGCGGTGTGTCTGGACACCGTGGTACTGGACCCCACCGTGTGGACATCGGAGGAAACACGATCCCACTGCGAGAGCGAACTCTTCCAGCTTTTCATTGCCAAGCTGATGGAATCAGGCCATGATCTGGATGGACGCTCTTTAAAGGGAATTACTCGACTACTCGCTGTTCACGCTGTTGAACTCGAGCATTTGATCGACGATGAAGGGTTCGAGGTGATCCTATCATCCTTAGACAATCGGTTGCCGCTAGAAGTTCGGAGCCAGGCGACCTTGGCTACTGCGAAATATCTCGAGGTGGCTAAAGAGACGGGCGAAAAGAAATTTTTGACATTGATTATGAATATCCTCGGCAAAGGCCGTGTCAGCGATCTGATCGTTGCTTTCTCTGCGGTGGCCGCCGTCTTCCCCGTGGCTCCCTCTGCAGCTGCCAACCTCTTCTTGTCGGAAGAATTCATGGCATTCCTCCTCCCGATGGCATCGCGAAATCCCAAGAGCAAAAAAGTGGAACTTCCCGTTCTGGAGCTTCTTAATGCGGCTTGCATTAACCGTCCGTGCCGCGAGGCTGTTTCAAAGAAATTTGGGGAATGGTTATCACATGTCCTGACTAATGGAAGTGATGATTGCTCGGAATTGGCTGCAGTGACCCTGGCAAAGATTCGGGCATCCGAGCCTGAGAAACCCTCGGCTGGCAACGGTAAGGTCTTGGAACAAGACAGCGAGTCTGAACTAGTTCACCGATTTATGGGACTGATGTCTGAACAAAAGGTTGAACACAACTCTCACGCAATCGAAGGATTGGCTTATACTTCGGTAAAGCCGTCCGTTAAGGATCAACTTGCCAATGATCCGGTTTTCCTACGAAACTTCATTGCGGCTATGAAACAAAACACCGGCGACTCATCCGTGCTCTATGGCGGCTTGATGGTCGTTTTAAACCTCACCAAATTCTTACCCAACCTATCTGAAGAGCAAAAGAAGATGGCACAGCTGAAGGACTACGCGGACCCATCTACCGCGAAGACAGCACCAGCAATCGATATTCGAGACGAAGAGGAAGCTGTCCTGAGACGATGTGGGGCTGTTATCGACGCAGGAATCATGACTCTGCTTGTTGAGTGCGGCCGGCTTTCGTTGCCTTCCACCAATGAGCTCACGGCAAAGATTCTACAGAACCTGACTAGGCCTCAAAAGTCCCGTGGAACACTGGCCCAGCAAGGCGCCGTGAAGCTGTTACTTGGCCTTGCAGCCCCGAAGCAGAGTAGCTCTGGCCCTGTGACAAACGAAACGACACGCATTGCATCCCATGCGCTGGCTCGCATCCTTATCTCCGTTGACCCTTCACATGTTTTCCCATCCTCCGGATTTCCCCAGGTTACCTCTGCCGTCCGTCCCCTTCTATCTCTCCTCTCATCGCCCGAGACGGCCTCGTTCTCCGCCGACCAACCTCGCGACCTACTCCCAGTGTTCGAAAGCCTCCTAGCTCTGACGAACCTTGCTTCATATCCCCATGACGACTCCGCACCCGAACTCATGGTCCGGGAAGGCTGGGCTGCGGTGGAAGATCTCCTTTTGTCTAGCAATGCTCGGGTTCAGCGAGCTTCCTGCGAATTGGTTTGCAATCTGATGACTTGCGAGTCCGGTATCATTAAGTTTGCGGATGGCTCCAAGCAAGCGGCCCAGCGCCTTCACATTTTATTGGCTCTGACCGATGCCGATGACGCTCCGACACGACGGGCTGCCGGCGGAGCTCTTGCGATGTTGACGGAGTTTGATGCTGCCATAGCTGCTGTCCTGGACCGACCACGAGGAGTTGAACTACTCTTGGGATTATGCCAGGAAGATGATGATGCCCTGGTTCACCGAGGTGTGGTCTGCGTTCGCAACTTTACTTGCCTCGCGACAGGTGACATAGGTACCCGCGCCAAAGCCGCCATTCGTGCTGCCGGAGGCATTGATATTCTCACTGCGTGTCTCAAGAAAACGAAGAACCAAGCGGTGCTACAGGCTGGGGTAGAGGCCCTGAAGCCACTGATTTAATAGCAGACATGACCGTTCGCATTTCTTTTTCGGCACTCTTTTTATGTTTTCCATTTGCATGTGGCTCTCGGATTGATCCAGTGGAGTTTTTATGATTCTTTTTTTTTTTTTTCTTTTTTAATGTTTCCGAGATGACCTGATGAGCGACGGATTTAGCGATTGCTTTTTTCTTACGCCTAAGGGAGGCGTGGAATTTGGCGCAGCAATGGCATGGCCTTTTTTCACATAGAATTATGAATTTTTTTTTGACTTGAGCACCTGATATGATTTTCTAGGCCTATAGTTGTAGGGTCACGGGGTACCTCCACCAATCTTGTAGGAACTGGCATTCCTGAATAACCACATACATATTTTATGTATGTACATATGTATGTATTACTATGTATCTAGGTACCTACTGGTACATATGTAGTGTTATTTCTCAGGTATTTTCACCCTTTTGAAAGTTACAAAACATGTGAATCTGGGGTCTGCAAATATCGCCGATCCCGCATGTGGGGGCCAAGACCAATTTATTTGTAGGATATGACGTGGGAGAGAACAAGAAATTTGAATTTGTCCACACCGCAAATTTGAAATATATTACATTGACATACTGTACACTGTGTAAATCTCAATTCTGTGTTCTGTACTCTGTACGCACAATGTTCTAACACTACACACACAAAGATAGAAACAGTACCGTGGAGACAACTTTCGTGGGTCGACAAATCATCGTCAGTCCAGCGCGCACACCTCTAACCCGTTCGCTTTTAGAGCTTAAACATTTCTCCTTTTACAACTTCTTGACTCCACGCTCTTTCTGTTCAACCTATCCTCATCCTCTTTCTCTAGGTGTGCAAAGTATCCCTTCCATATCCCCGACATTCCCCAAGACAGGGTCAGGTGCATCTCGAAGCTTTTGTCTCTTTGTCTCCCTTTTACTCCGTCCCCTATCCCCTCTACACATTCCAATGGCGTGGTTCATTTCCTCTGCCTGCGTTCGACCGCTCACCTGATCGCTTCCTCGTGACACTCAGGTTGAAATCCGAATCCCCCCTCGATTGAAAACCCTTGGACATAGTTGGAAATTGCAGATAAAAGGTGGAAACTGAAAGGATCGTGAACTGAACTCGGGAGTCCTTGGTTTCGCCAGTATGAAATTCGGCCGCAATTTGTCGCAATTCACGGTCCCCGAGTGGAGCACCTCCTACATCAAGTACAAGGCCCTGAAGAAGCTTATCAAGTCTGCTGCCGAGCAGATCAAAGCGGGTCAAGATCCTGATTTGGCTGGTAAGTTGAGAGCTTCATCGCCTCAAATTTCATTATTTTGAACCATTGAGCGCTCTTCTAACCAGGTTTTTGTGTTGGTGCTTATAGGTTTCTTCTATAACCTCGACCGAAATGTTGAAGATGTCGATTATTTCTACAACAAGAAATATGCCGAGTTCGCCCGCCGTTTGAAGCTGCTTGAGGAGCGCTATGGTTATTCCATGGAGGGTCGCCATGCTCTCGAGCCCGAGGATCGACATGACCTACGCGAGGCTCTATTGGATCTACGGTACCACTTGCGCCGCTTACAATGGTATGGTGAAGTTAATCGACGTGGCTTCGTCAAAATCACAAAGAAGCTGGACAAGAAGGTCGGTGCGCAGGCCCAAAAGCGTTATCTAGAGACTAAGGTCGATCCCACCCCGTTTGCCTCCAATGAACGCGTGTTCAAGTCTCAGGAACGCATCAATGCTTGGATGGCTATCATTACCGACCAGTCTAAGGCGGAAGAGAAGGTGTCCGATGACGCGAGCTCCACCCATTCTTCCCTTTCATTGAAGCGTGGTTCGGCCAGGCCTTATCTTAATCTGCCTACTAGTATCCTCACTGCCGTCGATGATGCACTACGCAAGGATGATACTCACGTCTTGCTCGAGTTGCTTGAGACCTTGAAGGCCTCTGCAGATGAAGTTGGAGACTCGGTTTATCCTAGAGTTCTCAGAACCCTGATTCAGCGCTCTATCCTTCACCACTCGCGCGCTGTTTTGGCTCTTCTCCTGAATCGAGTGGATACTCTAGAGGAAGACGATGATATCAACAGACGTAACTGCCTTCACCGTCTGGTCATTTCCATTGGCCGTGAACAGCCCACCAGTGACTCCGAGCCAGCGGCCTCGATGGTGCTTAACTTCCCTCCGGAGACTACCCGCTATATTACCCCCGCGGCGCCTCCGACGCTCCAGCCGCCGCGTGCTGTGGTCAAAGAGGAGCACATGCCTCAGCAGCTGGGCCGCGAAGATCCTGCTGTTACCCACCTTCAGTCCCTATTGGACTCGCTGCGCCCTGACCAGCGGGAGTCTTTGATGGCCAAAGACCTTTCTGGACGCACTCCGTTGCACTACGCGGCGCAGTATGGTTTCAAGGTCGTGTGTGAAGTCATCATTGAGCACCTCAGGGCATGGGACATGTTCGATGTCAGTGATGGTATTGATGGTCCTCTCTGGCAAGACAATGACGGCTGGGCCCCGCTTCATCTGAGTGTTGTAGGTGGCCACCCCCAAACCACCCGGTGTCTCTTGGATGCCGAACACCAGAATGATCCCTCGCAGGAACGGAGGATCATCAGAAAACAGGTCTCCAAGTCTAGTGCGGTATTGGCACTAGCGACCAAGGCCAACTTTATTGATATTGTCCAGCTTCTGGTGGATGCTGGCGTGGATATCAACTACCAAGATGAACAAGGAGAGACTGCATTGCACGTTGCCGCCCGATTTGGACATGACGAGTGTGCCCAAATTCTGCTGGATGGTAGCGCCGACCAGAAGGCAGACACAGAGTTAGCCGAAAACACATATAGCTGGACGCCGCTCTTCATTGCCTGTGTGGACGGATCTCTGAGTGTGACTAAAATGTTAGTTGCCGCGGGTGCAGACGTGGAGCGTTTCGATTCCTCTGGATGGACAGCTAAGGAGCACGCGGCCCTGCGAGGCCATCTCGACATTGCCCGTTGTTTGGCAGAAGTTAGTCCAGGCCCTCCCACCACTGAGCTCGATGTTTCATCTCCTACTCCAACCCTCCCTGGCTCCGAGTCCTCCTCTCCTCCAAGTGGGTCGTCCCTCACTGACCGCCGGTCGAATGCGCCAGGCCCGACTTCTGCGAGCTCTGGTGTACGGACAACTGAACCCATCAAATCATTTGGACACAGATATCTCACCGATGAGAGCATGATATTGGTTAGTCTGGGAACTATGGACATGCGCAAGCCGCTCGAGACAGTCAGCCTCGATCGCATCCCGATGGAGAACGCACATGCCACTCAGCTGGACACATCTTTGTCGATGGTGGTAACAGCTAGTGGTGCGCACGGTGAGCCGGAGGTGATTGACTTGCCTGTGCAGGACAATATCTCAACCGAGCCAATTGTCTTCCACACTACCGATCCGAGCAAGGTGCGCCTACTTTTCGATCTTGTCCCGACCTATGCAGGATCAAAGGAGAAGATTGTCGGCCGAGGTGTCGCTTTGCTTTCTAGCATCAAGCCCACTGTCGGGTCGCACCGAATCAACCTCAAAGGTGATTCCACTGTTCCCATTGTTGCCGCGAATACTCTTGAGGTGATCGGGTCTGTGACTTTTAATTTTCTCGTTATTACCCCCTTCAAGCACCCGAACATGTCCATCACTGGCAACCAAACCTACTGGCGCTCGATGACCTCAACCATGGTCATTGGACACCGTGGACTGGGTAAGAACATGGCCGGCCGCAATTCATTGCAGCTGGGTGAGAATACTGTGGAGTCGTTCATTGCTGCGGCCAACCTGGGCGCCTCATATGTTGAGTTTGATGTACAGCTTACGAAAGACCACGTGCCTGTCATCTACCACGACTTCCTAGTCAGCGAGACGGGTATCGATGCGCCTGTTCATACCATGACCCTCGATCAATTCCTTGGGTTGGGCATCGGACGTTACCGTCATGCCCTACCCGGATCCGTGAAAGTTGGCGAGTCATCTGAGTACGGCCCGCGCCAGCGCTCAATGTCTGTCGGCGGCTCCGAGTACGACCCTACCGAATTGACCGAGAGGATTAAGCACACACGCGATTTCAAGAAGAAGGGGTTCAAGGGCAACACCCGCGGCGAGCACATCCAGGCCCCATTTGCCACATTGGAGGAACTATTCACCAAGATCCCGAAACCTGTAGGATTTAACATTGAACTGAGTGAGTTACTACAGCTTCCCTAAGAGCAGCTATTTCGTCGATCTAACCAAGGTCGCTAGAATACCCCATGCTCCACGAGAGCGAGGAGGAAGAAATGGACACATACGCAATCGAACTGAACTCCTTCGTCGATACCATCCTGACCAAGGTCTACGACTTGGGAGGCGGGCGCGACATGCTGTTCTCCAGCTTTAACCCGGATATCTGTCTATTGCTGTCTTTCAAGCAACCTTCCATCCCCGTTCTCTTCCTGAGCGACGCAGGTGCCTCCCCGGTCGGTGATATTCGCGCCAGCAGCTTGCAGGAGGCCATTCGGTTCGCCTCGCGGTGGAATCTCCTCGGAATCGTCACCCAGGCTGAACCACTAGTCCTCTGCCCGCGGCTGGTCCGCATTGTCAAGGAGTCCGGTCTTGTCTGTGTTTCTTACGGAACACTCAACAATGACGGCAACAACGTCGACGTAAGCTCTTTCTGTGCCCTTCGTTATCCGTGTACACTCAACCCCCAAACAACCATCTAACCATGCTATCCGTACAGTACCAAGTCGCCGAAGGTATCGACGCCGTCATCGTGGACTCCGTGCTCGGCATCACCAACGGCCTTATCCAGCGCCAGAACAAGGGCGAGCGTACCCCCGGCCCGTCGCCCAACCCTTCGGCCGTTAGTGATCTGGCAGCCGACATCACTGTCCCGGCTCTTGAGCGGGTAAAACAGAGCACCCTCTCACCGGATGTCAATCCTCCTAGCACTCTTCTGTAAGATTTGCATTGTCATGTATCATTGCATTCTCGCCTGGGAAGTGTGATTTGTCGACATTTGTTGTGAATAGTTTGCATTCGGCTTGTGCCAGCTTCAACAGCTATCAATACCAGTTTTTGATATTCTACTTATTTCTGTGTTCTGTGGATTGTGTAGGCTTCTGAGTTTCATTCTGCTGGCGAGAAATAAATGAGCCAAAATATTCACTAGTTATTTCATTTCTTGAATATGTCTTGCAGTTTCCTATTTGTAATTCGGCCAATGCACTTCCGTCAACTGGCGAGTGCATGGCAAAAGAACATTCCGACTCCCAATACTACAACTTTATATCGTTTATTTGCGCGCACCAAACGTATCTCCGTTTTTGCATTATACATATCAAAAATGAAGATGTACGCTGGTACTCCCAACGCTTGGAAAAATTGGTGAGACTGTATCTACTGCGCGCGATTCTCATGGGTCGTCAATATTGCCGAGATCAATATAACAGGTCAACTGGAGTCATCACTATCCGTTGAAGAAAAATGGGCGGGGGAAGCTTCATCAGGTTCAGAAACCCCTTCATCGCCCCAGTCCCAGGTGCCATCAAGAATTGTCTTGACCCCAGTAATACAATTCATAGTCATCGTATCAGAATATGGGTGCCTGTGACACAGAATTTTGAACACTTTGAGGCTTGGGTTTTGTTTTGCAATCTCAATACCTGTCGTAGTCATCTCTTTGTATAGGTCCAACGCCCTCCTTGGCTCGGTACAATGATGACTAAATCCTGCGGAGAATCGATCGACATTTTGGAGGCTGAGATTGATGATGAGGCTCTCAATTTGTGATGGAATGGCACTGTCACCCCGGGGGAATTCAAGAATCTGTGGGCAGATTCTACACAGGCGTAACCGCACCGATTTCAACGAGGGCATCTGGAGCGCTAACAAAGGACAAATATGTACAGCATTGCTCATTTCTGAACCGTAGGTATCGATAACAAGATGTGAGAGGTTCGAGGTACCCAGGACGGTCAAAAATTGAGTCGGGTCCCAAGTGGAGATATACTGCTGGCGAGGGGCCAGCGGATTGTCTAGGTCAAATTGGCTGCGGACATGCAATGTGAGAGATGCTAAATGATTGCTCCGTTCAACCAATGAAGTGAGTATTTCATTGAATTTCGCGATATCTCGCTCAGCGGGCCAGTCCTCCGGGCCATGCACATCAATTGTGAGCTCTCGCAAGAAGGCCTTCAGTTTTGGATACACATTGTCGGGTACTTGTACCAACTGCGTCGCACTGAGCTTGAGGTCCTCTAGTAGGAGGGGCTTTGCAACCTCATACCACAACTTGCAGACCAATAAGCCGCAGGCTTCCTGTTTGCGAAGCTGATCGCTTCCTATAAAACGAATAATCATACATAGGATTTCAAGTGGTAGGGTTTGCAGTGTCATTTCTAGATTAGAGGAATGGTTGAGGACAATGAACCTTTGCAACATGTGAAGTTTTTCGGGAGTTTAAATTCGATCACATGACTGACGTTGGACCTTGAATGATACTTTTCTTAGCAAGGAGGCGCCCTTGCCAATTGAGCTCCACAGTTCCAACAGGTAGGGAACGTGACCGGCTTAGCCGGTTTGGCAGCTCCTACCATTGGGATGATAGATGTTGTTCTGGCAGGAGCCCGAGACGGTGTTCATGGAAAAAGACGTCTTATAGTTGGTGCTGTTGACTTATATGGCCGCAAAAAGCAAGGAAGATTGTGAAAAGCTTGAGAGAATGGAGGACAATGGAGTTGTGAGTCGAAATTTAGGACTGGAAGGCCATTTGTATAACCGTCCTACCTCTCTCACAAGGAAATGCGCAGAGCCGCATGGCCTACTGGTGGTAGAGACCTCGTAGACATAGACATTGTAGCTGTAAGCCTACGTTTCATTTCACATGGGATATACGTACGGGCACTGTGCATTGAGGAGTTTTCCTATAAGATGTGTGACTCGTTGATACCCAATAGACGTTGAATATCGGTTCAAAGTTATTCAGTTATGTTGCGAGTAAATATTCTGAATCATTTGGTACATAGCAAATACGTCGGATAATATATATGATACCTCTATAGAGATGATGATTGATCTATATGTTTCGGACATCAGTCTCGCTCTGAGATACGTCCCATCCGCGGGATTCATCATCCGAGTCAAGATATATCATGAATTTGCCCCTGCTTCCGGTTTCTGTACCTACACCCAACGGTTCAGAGGTATATTTCCCATCTCTCCAGCCCAAATAAGCACGACATTGGCCAAAAAAGCTAGATTGAAGCGGTTTATCTTTTGGATGCATCATCTCCAACGCCTGTCGATCTATGAGATCCGAATCTGCCAAAAGACTCGCAACAGCTGCAATACTGCATGGATTCTTCGGCAGAACATGATCCGTATTCATAATCACAGAACCAAGTATACCCAATACAAGCATAGCTGCAAGGATTCCTTCTAGAATCCGCGTTGAAGTAGCATCTTGAACCAACCGCAATCGATCAGGCATCGTGATATTCCCGACTAGTCTTGCTCGAGATATTGTTTCATTCGATGTGCGACGAGAGAAATAGTTAAATTGCTGTGCGGTAATAAGTCGTATCTGGCGTTTGATGGCGTTGATAACCTTTTCGCTTTGGTCTGCAGCTCCAAGGTCCTCGATTGGAATGCCGTACTTCCCGGCAATCAGGAAATGGAAGAATGCGTCCATCATGGGGTATGAGGCTCGGTCACTTAGAACCCACCATTCGGACATCGGCACGTAGACATCTGGAACGAGTTTTGCGGATGACTCGTCGGGAATCGGGGGGTGGTTTGGGGTAATTTCTAGGCCTGGTAACTTCAGGCGTATTGAAGCATCTATTGTTTCTGCATATTGCATGCATCTGAGGGCTGTTATGCTCTTGACAGATGTATTGCTTAGCTGTCCCCAAATGTATGAGTTTGTCCAGAGCTTGGGACCGGGATTCATGGGGTCTGGATTGGAACATGGGGAGTGGACTGAGTATCCGAAATTTTGGGATTGGAGCTGTTTCCCGCTGAACACTTCCTGTGTCCAATTTCCCACTGCGGTGTTATTTGAACAAGACAGACGGGGCAAATTAACGGTCAGTCTAAATTTGTCTGTTGAATTGTTTTCCATGGTGATGTTTGGATTCAAATATGCCCTCGTTTGGAGCTGACAGGAAGGAGCAGCTCTCAGTGCGGACACTTGGATGTCTACATAAGAGTTTTCCATTGAGCCTAGACTCAATACAGAATGCGGTAGTATTTCAGGGAGCACAAGGTCGTCCCATGTCCAACTTGGAAATGTGAGGTTGTCTTGGAGAATGTATTTAGCAGTCACGATTCCCGTGACCTCGCTGAATTCATCTATGTTCAACGCCGCTGGAGCAATGGATTTAGGGTTTGGAAAGCTACCATTTTGTGTAAAATTTGAACCGAGGTGTCGAGGAACATCAGTGGCTGAGTATAAACCACTGGTGACGATGGTAAGAAAGAAGGCAGCCCCAGTGGCCAATGTTGTTGCTAGAACCGCAAAATGCCTCGAGCCAACTGCAAGGAAAATATGGTGTAGTCCGAGATTGTCCAGGAAGCTCAGTCCCAAAGAATGTTTGAGGGTGGCACCAGTAGATTGCTTCAAGCGGGCGAATGGGGCAAGACAACGTGTATTGAAATCCATGCTCGAGTAGAAAATACTTATTATCACCATAATCGACGCGGGGATGATTGTCCACAGGTAGTGCAAGTATTCATTGAAAGAAATATCTGCGATGCCGTTCCCTGCCTGAGAGAGGTGCAGGACGACCTCCAAGGCTGCAATGATCATGGCAATTATGACAAAGCCAGAAGCTCGAGAGACAAGGCCTGGGAATGGCTTCCACGCGACGTATTCGGATGGAGGATTGAGGTGGTCTAGCTCATGGTAATCCCCGCTCATGCTAAGAATTGCACTGCCTCGGGGTGTGTTTTGCGAATAGTAGTATTGACCGGCTAGGCGACTATAGATATCCTGCATGCTTGCTGCCCCAGTACCGCGGAGAGACTGTCGTAGATCCTCGCTATTGGCTAGAATGGTTACAATGGATGAGATATAACTCGGGTTCCATTGAGCTAAGGTCTCAGGCGATACAAAGAAAATCATGGAGCCCAGCAGCAGGACTCCCAAAGAGAGCAAGGCTTCCATCACTCGAAGGGGTACTTGCGATACCAGCACTCTATTCTCGTGTACAATCGCCTGGCCATAGGTTGTTGCTTCGTGTTGCGATCGAGCCAAATGCAGAAGCTGTGCGGTCATCGCGCGATAGTATGACACAGTTACATTTTGAAGCACATCAACCTCAAAGAGGGGCTCAAGGTTGGGAGTTGCTCCTGTGAGCCACATGCCAAGTGCCACTTGTGTTTGAGCAGAAAAGCTGCCTACAACTCTTCGATGCGATTCAATGGCTCTGAAACCATTGGTGTTTTCAAAGCCACTAAGAGCCGGGCGAATAAGGTTACCAGCCGTTAGGCCTGGCAAAGTCGCATTTTGAGATTGAAGAGGTTCAAAACGAGCATTCGAGGATGATTGGGATGCCTTAGCTTGTGCCTTGAGGCTCATAGACATCAGTGATGGTTTGCAGATCAATGCAACGGAGCGACGCAATGTTTTCTTAGAGTCGTCGTCGTCTTTGCTCTGAACGATCTTGGCTTCTTGGCTGGTAGCCACAACGCGTGTGCCCCCAGGACCATTTGTATTGTCGCACTGTCCTTCTTGCAGTGTCGCTCCAATTGGGACGTCATTAGACATCATCTGGAGTTTTACGTTCGAGATGTTGCATGACGGGGTTTTCAGATCGACGCGGCATAATAGATCGCTTGAATAATTGCCTGCCGGCCAACCCTTAACCGTCACATCAGCGACCTCACAGTCCAGATCTGCCATTAAACCTTGAATGGGGACGGTGATATTTGCATCTGATGGAAGAGCCGAGGCGGAGAATTCCTGAAATGCGAAATTCGCAGTTGAACCGTCGGGGAAGGGGAGGTTATCGAAAAGAACACCGTTGAGAATGTCGTATGCCTGCAACCCAAAGCCATAAAGTGTGGAGTTTTCGATGTTGAAATTACTGTGCATCTGAATCGGAACATTGGACTTTTGAACTTGAACTTGTTGCAGCGAAAATAGACCGGTCGAGAAGATGACGAGAAGGCGGAGAAGTATTGACGAGGCCACGCCAGAGGCGACGATAAAATGCTTGTTCTTCAAGGCTCTCCATATAGATATCATTTGCATCTCGGATATGTAGTCTAAGAGCACATTCTTCTCCGCTTGTTCGGGTCCATGAAGCAGGGAGTACCACGGTGCACTCTGCTTCGCTTGGAACTCAACCCGCGACCAAAATGAGGCGACGATGGTGAGGATTGCGGTAGGGCCATAGGTCCAAAAGTAATGGCGACTTTTGTTCGAAGATGCGATGCCGTTGTGAGCTTGAGATATTTGGTTGAGTGTCTCTAGAGCCGCTATGATAATGCAGAAGATGATCGCGAAGACAAGTAACACTCCCCTTCGGAGATAGCATGGTCGCCATCTCGGCGTTTGATCTTGAATGTGATATTTGTCCGAGAATGAACTCTTATCTGAGCCGGTATTTGTCTTCCAGGCCATTTTCAGGGCCGATGTCTTTGCGGGATGGTCTTTTTCGCCAAAGAGGGAAAAGAGTTGGGACCGCAAGGAGCGAAACCCTCTTCAAAATTATTTCATCGGATTCCTGTCCCATCTGTACGTTCGAAAGGGCCTGGTAACAAAAGTGTCTTTTTTTAGCCCCATTATCTTCTAGCCGCCGAGGCTGTCAGCATCCACCCCGGCGGTTAGAGGAAGTGACACTGATTTGATGGATGCTGTAGAGTTATCATGAAACCCATGTTGATCAATTTCCGACCAGTTAGAGGTATTTTCCTTTACAACTAACCAATAAAAGCTACTTTAAAGCAAGTGGGTGTATTTGCGATCATCCCCGCGGGTTCCTAAACGGGGCGGGGACCTTTCAGGATCCTTGTAGGGCGCTAAAACCAATAGGTACGTACAATGGACCGGAGCAATAATTTGAAAATTTGAAAATAGAAGGCAACCTGTGACATCTAGTCATCTCCTTGGATGCTATCGACTGCAAATTGTCACTTGAAGAATTAGGATAGTGGGCCGACAACTGTATCAACGAGTTTCTTCCAAGGTTAGCTTATGGCTCTTTTGCCAGCCAGATAAGCAGGAATAGTATATACGAAGTGGCTTGAATAGAGAAATAAGAAGATGTTAGGCAGAAATTAAAAGAGGGAAGAACGTGACTTTTAGATAAAAGGCACTTCCGAAAATGGAAGCTATCCGACTCTGACAAACCTCAGGCTTCCACGCGAGAATGAGATAATTTCACAAATCTCATGAGTCAGTTGGACTAATTTGGACTGTTTAAAGCTCGATGCTGATATCTCTGCACTTAAATCCGTTTTATGTAAATTCCGTAATAACGGTCTGGATCTTCTAGCCTCTAGATCGTATATAGAACATTTATGTTATCGTGAGTGTTGAAAACATTTCTACTGATAGGAATTTGACAATTTGCGCTTTTGTCAAATGTATTCGTTGGTGCTCCATAGCTGACTCGTATATAATCGTAGTTTATTCTTAGTTTAGCGATGTGTGTATTTCGGAATGGTGTGATATCAGGCCCCCAAGATGCCATTCTCACTAACCCTTGACCCGTGTTGACCCTTGACCATGATCACCTCACATCACAGTATAATTGTTCAATACTTGGCTCGATGGTGCGAGTGCCAAATGATCTTTGGTCAGTAAAATCATGTTCTAACGCAAAATGTCCCGATGAAATCGCCCTTGGAGGCTGTACAAAAACACCCCAGACAACCTAGACTTATCATAGGTGGAAGGAAATGGACAACACATATCACAATTTGGTTGCAATAGCTTTGGATCGGCTAGATGCCACTATCCGAATGAGTCCATCTCAGTATTCACAGGGACTAACACATACTCACAGGGAGAAACCATCATTGTCAGCCCAATCATTCGCGATGACCGAAGCTAAGGATCCCTGCAAAATCAAGAACCAATTACGTCCCACATGCTTCAAAGATTCTCAAGCCGATACGTTGTCCCACCTACCTGACGGGCTTCGGATTCGACACTTTCGTGACCAATCTCCTGGTTATTTCTAGCGAAGCGCTGCCTGTTTTCTTCATTCTACTCCTCACATATGTCTCGGAGGTTAGTATCCTATTGATTTCGGTGGCTATAATTGACCAAATATGAATACTTCCTTCTTGGTCTATCTATGTGTGGTTGATATTGACTGCATACAAGAGATTGTCCGATGCAATATACGGCAACCACGAAGGATGAAGGAGATAAGCGATTGGATTTCAGATTCGCCCATTGAGTACTCCGTACCTGTCTGACCATTGTGCTTTAGTACAATTACAAGTGAAGAAACGGGAATAGCCTGCCTTAGTCCGTTAATGAATGGGGGTTACTCCGTATAGTTCTGATATTAGAGCAATGAACACAATTTTCACTTGGCTTATGCTGCATAAGACTATAAAACGCTAGTTATTACAATTGATTCATTATAGTCAAGTGTCGATCTAGCGCAAGATACTCCCCTTTTTGATGCGATTGGTCGGACCTACATGGCGTGCTTGAGTAGATGCATATAGTATGATGTCCGTCCAGCCAACGAATAGTTAATTTAAAATAAGCGAGCTGTGAGATTATCGTGCATTAATCTGATTGAATGCAGCTTCTGACCCTACCTCCTATAGGCATGGTGTCGTTCGTAATCGACCATGTTGCGCAACCTCCACTATATATGATCCCATCACAGTGACAGCTCCAGATGGCAGGACGTCAACCAATTCCTGGGGAAAATGACGAATGTCCAGTTTGACAGCAGAAATTGACTGTTATCTACCAGAACGATCAACATATAAGACGTGCTTTCGTTCTAACTGTGCGACAACCACGTTCCAGATCTGCGGGGTTGTGACAATGATGGCTGGGCACAACAACGAGCAGATGTCGCAAGCGGATAACCGGCAACTTCCTGAACCTCACGGAGTATAAGATGGACCTCATAGTCCCAGCTGTAACTTTCCAGCATCAACAACCAACGCGAACCAACAACTACTACTCCATCCAACACCCTTACTATGGCATCCGCTGTCACCCAAACCGCACCTACGGTGGTTCCCATCGTCGAGGACAAGATCACACTGACAGGTCTCGCACGTGAGCCCCTCAAGTCCAACGGAACTCTCGATGCGTTCGAGTCCTTCGATGTTACTCCAGTCATTGGACGCGAATTTCCCAACGCCAACTTGAAGGACTTCCTGCGTGCTCCCAATTCCGATGATCTGCTCAGGGAGCTTGCTTTAACTAGTTAGTTATATCAGTGATCAAACATGATGGACAGAACTGACATACCATCTTAGTCTCGCAACGAGGAGTTGTCTTCTTCCGCAAGCAGGATAGTCTAGACAACGACCTACAAAAGGAGCTTGTCCAACGACTAGGTGAACTCTCCGGCAAGCCAAGCACATCTGGACTGCATATCCACCCAGTAGCAAACTCTGCTCGGGAGCACAGCGTCAAGGACGATGAGATCAGCGTGATCAGCTCCGCAAGCCTAGGAAAGCTGTACAAGGACAGGATCGTGCGAAAGCAGAGTGCGCGCAGGGAGTGGCACAGTGACATCACCTTCGAGCCTATTCCTAGCGATTACACTCTCCTCCGTCTCACAGAGCTTCCGAAAACCGGTGGAGGTAAGACCAAATTTTATACTCTCTATGAAATGGCCCAGGGAGACTAATTCTCTTTTAGACACCCTGTGGGCCTCAGGATACGAGGTTTACGATCGTATCTCCGAGCCCTACCAGAAGTTCCTAGAGAGCTTGACCGCAACCTATGCGCAGCCCGGTTTCAACGAAGTCGCCAAACGCAACGAGTTCTCAATCCACCCTGGTCCTCGTGGTGCGCCTGAGAACGTCGGAGAAGAGCTCCGAGCTGAGCACCCTGTCATCCGTACCAACCCTGTCACCGGTTGGAAGAGTGTCTTCGCTGTTGGCTCGCATGTGCAGAGAGTCAATGGTGTTTCCGAGGAGGAGAGCCGTCACCTTCTCGACTGGTTCGTAACTCTCATTGTTGAGAACCACGACCTGCAGGTGCGCAATCGCTGGCAGAACCCGAACGATCTTGGTATGACCCTATGATTCCTAGAAATTTACAACCCCCATATCTAACTATTATTATAGCTATCTGGGATAACCGATCGGTCTACCACGCAGCAACTCATGATTACGAGGAGCTTGGTCCCCGCACTGGACACCGTGCTGTTGGCCTTGGAGAGAGGCCATATCTGGATCCTAAGAGCATTGGAAGACGGGAAGCTCTCGCTAAGAGCGAGTAGGTGGTTTTCGCATAATCCCCTTGGAAGAATAGTCTCCTCTGATGCAGTTTAATGAAAATTCTTGTTTCCAAGCACCATCTACAAATGCTACTTCGGAATCCAGTGCTTTTTACTCGAAAGACTTGATATGTAAAGAGAATATCCAAAAAGGATATATGTTTTGCCCTTTTAGTCCTTACAAATACACTTCCGACCCATGTGGATCTGCCCAGCTGGGGAGCCGAGCCGGTCGGCTTCAGCACGGGCCTTGGTTGCCTAATGTGGAAATAGTCACTTTCCTAATCTGGAAGTCAGATTCAGGACTGGATTTCCCTAAGGATATACAGATTCTAGTCTGGGTATTTTTACCAAGATTTGGCTTTGCTTTACCATGTGAATAAGTAATCTTTAGACTATCAACTATAAAACTATCTTGCACTGACACATATGGCACTATCTATATTATATATTAACCGTATCAAGCTGGAAAGATCAAACCACTACTAGGAGTGGGCCATCTCTCTTTCTGTGGCAACGAATTGCCAATATCGCTCTGCGGACATTCTCCTCCATGACTTCCCCCAGACAATAACCCCAAGGAATGTATATGTACAAAAGAACGAGATCAACGACACTGAGATAAAGCAGTTTCGAAGACCCACGGCGTCGATCCAAGGTGTGATAGCATAGCTGAAGCCAAATCCTATTGTATTCCGAATGATATTGATGGAAACAAAGGATTCACCAGCCATTTCTTTGAAACAGTCAACAGCATACGCCAATGATATCGCGCTTGCGCAAACGACTCCAAAGGTGGTGATGCCAATTCCGATAACCAAAACCATGTAGTGTGCCTCTTGACTGGCCCCTACTCCCCACATGAGCAGCCCGCCGGCAGCGATAGGTGCGGATAGCAGAAGGCCCCACAGCCTATGTTCTGGTTCCCGGACACCTCCATTGCGCTTTGCTAGTTTGATTGCGAGGGCATCCGATATCTTCCCAGCCCAAATGGATGCAGCGCCACCGAAGACGAAAGGGGACAGATAAGAGACACCGACCATTGTCGGAGGGAAATTGTATGGACTGGATCCCAGGATGCTCGACATTGTCGCATTAATCACGCTGTAAAGGGCTAGGTTTGACCCGTATAAAAGACCGCACCAGAGAATATTAGGAAAGAAGAAAGGGATTTTTATCGATTGCCAGCTCTTCAATGCCATTTGCTTGTGAGTTGGACGACCTGGTAATATTGTAACCAACGCTAGCCTCTGCCGACGAGGTTTCAACCCTGTGTCAATGCCATTCTCACCCAGGGCTGTGGCTGCTCCAGTCTGGAGTCGATCCGCAGTGATAGTCCCTGGCTCTCCATTGTCATCCGGCGGGATAATCTCATATCTTTGGCCCCTGCTCTCAGTTGTCTTTCGAAAGTAGATTGTGTCCTCCATGAAAAAGAACAAGATCAGTGCGCAGATACCCAGAAATATGGTAGCAAGGTACATAACCCATTTCCAGTTCAAGCCATCCGCTATGAACCCAGCGAGGAAAGGAGCAATGAAGTTAGATCCGAATAATACAAATGTATACAGGGCCATATATTTTCCTCGTTCATGGGCGAAGAAAAGATCTTGGACAGATAATTCTGGTAGAGACTCCACGGACGAGCAAAAGAGACCAAGAAGAATGCGGTGCGCGTACCATTGGCTGGCACCATGAGCCAACGGCACCCATAAAACTGGCCCTATCGAGAATATAATTGTCACGAGGTAGACTAGCCTGCGGCCATAGGTCATGGCGACAGGCTGCCATAGAAGATTTGCCCATCCTTGCATCAGCTGCATCAATCCAGTGCCCAAATTCAGATCTGCAAGACTGACTCGTTGCGATTCAGATATTTGTGTCATGATGGAAAACTGCGCAGCTGTGCATATTCCAATAGCAAAGGTGTACAAACATACCATGCCGATATTGAGGTTTTTCCATTGTTGTGATCGATTGAGGGGGTCATTTGGATCTGTGCTAGGTTGTGGTTGAAGAACTATTCCTTTCCGTTGAGCGGATATATTGCTGTCATGAGCTATATCAACGAGGAGGAGAGTTCCAGGTACCTCCTCATGATCATGGCGCTCTGGGAGATGCTCCATGGTAGGGGCTTCCATAGATCGAGCAATATGGAGTAAGGAAGATAAGGCGACGGAAATTCAGAATGCCCCTAAAGTGAGCTCGAAATGGATACAGCATTGAATCAACTTGGATGGTCGGAAATCGGCTGCAAAGGTAGCCACATGTGCAGATAATCAAGGGGTCGGATCTCGGATAATGAATGTTACCCAAATAGGAAGGTGAGCCAAATAAGCAAGCGAGCCAACGGTCAAGGGCTAGAGATAAGCAACTTAACCTCCCCCTTTTTTATGACCTTCTCATCCGGTAGATAAACCTAAACTCTTTCCAAGGAACGGCAAGCCAATCATCACCATTCCAATAGGAAAAGAGACCCCAAAAGACTTATCGACCTGAGATGTAATGCCATTTCAACCCCGGCTGTACAATTCCACATCACAATAGCGTGACTGTCAGCTTGTCTGTGGCAATAGGCATCGAGAGATAGATAAATGCTCAACGCATTCTAATCGAGGTTTAGGGATATCTCTAGGACTGTGGGGTAGCGTCCCTGTTCGGCTGCTGTCATTTTTCCGTATACCTCTAAAGGGGCGCTATATTGCTAAACGCGGGGTCAAGTACCCACATAGTACGCTTATCTATACAGAAGGTCAGAAAATATGCTTAATTAGGCAGGCGGCCTTTTCACAATGACGACGTATTACAAGGGGTCTCGGATAAGAATGCGACTATATACTTGTGGTACCCCCTGTCTGTAGTATTCTGACAAAAACAGCTCAAAATGGCCCCCTCTGAAGCTCAACCCTCCACAGATTTCTCGCCAGATCTAAAAAATGACTTGATTGAGAGTTCTCAAAGGGCTACTCAACGAGAACATGATCTGACCGTACGACAAGCCCTTTCAAAGCACAAGAGTGCTATCTTTTGGGCAGCCTACTTCATCCTCCCTGGTTTCGTTATCGGTTACGATCCAACAATCCTCGGCAGCTTGGTCGGTGTACCGCAATTCCGAAAAGACTTTGGTTACGAGCACCCTGCTGGATCAGGAACTTACGTCCTCTCTTCATCTTGGACCTCCGCATTCCCCTACGCACCTATCATCGGTTTCTTAGTCGCTCCAATTTGGGCAGGATGGTGTGTCGATCGTTTTGGACCAAGGAAGACCCTGCTATGCTGCACAACCCTGTCTCTGGGAACTCTCCTGATGGAAGTTCTGGGTAACACTGCCGGCATTATTTTCGCCGGAGACCTCCTTACTGGCCTCCTCACTGGTGGCTTCCCCGTACTCGGACCGGCATACATCTCAGAAATTCTCCCTGTTAACCTTCGTGGTATTGGACTGGCAGCCAACAACTTTGCTCAGGTTGCTGGGTCGTTTATTGCAATCGGCATCTTGCGCGGGACGGAAACACGGCCTGACAAATGGGCGTATAAGATCCCTTTCATCACAGAATACGCTTTCCCTGTTCTCTTCATCCTGGGAGCCTTCTTTGCGCCTGAAACACCTTGGTTCTTGGTGAAGAAAGCTCGATACGAAGAAGCCGCAAAATCTCTGAAGCGTACTGGATATACTGAGGATCTCGACGATACCCTGGCTCATATGAAGGAAACCATTCTCATGGGAGAGCAGTGTATATCCACAACCACATACCTTGATTGCTTCAAGGGCACAAACTTCCGACGTACTGCAATCTCCTCAATCTGTTACAGTGGCCAATTCTTCTGCGGAGTTAACGTTGTGTCTTCATATTGTACCTACTTCTTCCAGCTGGCAGGTGTGTCGACAGATCAAGCCTTTGACCTCTCTCTTGGTTTATTTGCGCTTGGTATAGTCGGTAACGTGGCTTCATGGCCTTTATTGTCAATCTGGGGTAGAAGACTCCCCTATATTTTGACTTGTTCCGCAACTGCAACCTTGATGTTTTTGATTGGATTTTTGGATCTCGCACCATCTTCCAATAAAGCTGCTCTCTACGCCAAGTCATCCATGCTACTTGTATTTTACCTTATCTACAACTTCGGTCTCGGTCCTCTTGTTTATGCCTTGATTGCTGAGATCCCATCCACAACAGTACGCGGAAAGACAATGGGTGTGGCATGTTCGTTTGCACATATATTTTCCCTTGTCATCACAGCCGCCCTTCCTTATGCAATGAGTCCTCTTGAGGCGAATTGGGGTGGCAAGATTGGATTTTTGTTCGGCGGCCTCAGCATTGGGGTGATTGTTTGGGCGTGTTTGTGTCTACCAGAAACCAAGGGCAGGACGTTTGAAGAGCTTGATATTCTTTTCGAGCGGAAGACACCAGCCTGGAAGTTTAGCAGCACTGACCTGTCGGGTTTTGATCGTGGGACTGTGGTTCATGGCGAGTGAGCATTTTGGATATTAGTAATACATTCTCGGTGTAACATAGGAGGCGCTTCCAACAGCAGCCTTTGTATTGACTATGCGATCTCTATATCTGTCAATGGTTAGAACAGTGTCTGAGACAAGTGTCTGAGACAACCGAACGTTATATAGAGAACGCTATGCATAGTATGTCCATTAGAGATGTGAATTCTATGGAACAAATATTTCCTTTTTATTTCTCTCTGTCTTCAATGTATCCTATCAGAATGAGATTATTGATCAGGTGAATTTGAAGTATACATAAAAGAGTCGAGTCCCTCTAAGGTCACATGATATTTCCGACCAGTTCCGCACCCACCCTCCGCCCCACCCTCGGGACGGGATTCCTTGTTCGCGTGTTGGTCACGTGTTTATCGCGTAAGATCCCTAATTCAGTCGAGTCTACCCCTAAAAACTGAAGGTTTTCTGATTCACTGATATTTTGCTGGGATATTTTCTACGGACTGTGCTATCCCTCTTTTCCTCTTTCTCAAGTTGGACCAGCCACATTGCTTTTTTGTGTACGCCGTCAGTATGGTGGCTATGCAGGTACCCAAGAGCCGCTATATCGCATGGGGAAATACATCACGAGATCATATCAATATTTAATACCGTACAACGTCACGTAATGTAATTATAGCCACTTTTTATGTATATTACTGTTATTTAATTCTTTTGGTAGATTTCAGCACTTTCTACTAAGCCTCCTCTGTACTCCGTATGTAAATTATCCATCTAACAATGACAACCCTGAAAACACCAATAACATGTCCACGGGGCGGCTTAGCTTTCTTGGCATCAGCCGCTCCATCTCACCTACTAGCTCGATCTCAGTCACCGCATAATCCTACTCACTTTTCCTTTTTCTCCTTTAAAGTTTTTAAATATTCCACCCCCTTTATTAAAATTTCTAAAATCTAAGAACATATATCAAAATGAACCTGAGTTGGCTACCATGGCGGACGCAACGTCTTCACGCTGCCGTCAGAAACAAAGCGACATGGGGTTATGTCATTTATCGCACCACCTACACTCCTGAATCGGACACTGCATTCCCCCAGATCATCAATCTACTCAATACCTACATCAAACAAGAATTATATTCTGAATACGCTTCCACACCGAAGAGTCAATTACACAACGCAGAACCTACTCCATATCACGAGATCTGGGCACAACATCTTCCAGTCATCATGACCGATCAGACGCAGTTCAATGAAGCGTCAATAGACTCCATTCGTGCACACTTTGAATCTTGGGTGAATACGCAAGAGAAGCAAAACCACACCACGTGTATAGTGATTGATGAAGAGTCACTACAGGCATTTTTGGATGCTCAGACTCCGAACGAGAAATCAGAGCCAAATATGTTGGGGATTCATTCCATGCGCTATATCAAGGTGATAACAGCGTTTCCGGAGGTCGATGAATATGATAGTTTTATGGGTGCGGAGTATAACGGGGAATGGTTGGGTAGGACAAACATGAATTCAAGTCCCAGTGGGAAAGGGATGGCATCATCGGAGTCCGATGATGACGAGTATGATAGTTTCCTAGGTGGATGAATTCTCAATCATGTGTATATATGGGATGTCACCAGGGAGGGGAGCGTGATGGCAATGCATTGTGAGAGAACGACTGGAAGATTACTGTACAGATTCAAAGACGCATCTATTTCTGGAGTTACAATATCAGGGGCCTCAAGCCCAAGCGAGAACTACAAATAAATTAATATGCAAGAGACTGTCACAACAGGTCAACATTTCTACTCTTAGTAGTTCCTAGCACAGATATTGAGTTCACAGTCCTGTGACCGCAAGTCATCGAGCTGTCTATCGAGAAGGCTTTCACCGAGAGGGTTAATCGTAATAAGACTTCAATATGATGTGAAGCAAGGCGCCAGTTAAACATACCACAAGGCTTTTGTAGAGAGGATCTTTGCTTTTATGTTACGTGCTAAGTCAATCAATGAAGAAAGAGTGCATCAATGGTTATACCTAGAAAGTCGGTTGCATAAATCAGCCCTTTCCCCGCCTTTTTTGCCGTCGACCTATAAACCCGACAAGAAAAAAAGATTTCTGAGAAGAACACTGAAAAGGCTAGTCTATCGCACAACCCGGGTGTTGGAATATCACATCTCTCGTTGTTTGCTTGCAGCCTGAGCAGCTTGTTTGTCAAGCTTGTTTGGGCAGAGTATAGATCATGTCTGTGCGGGTTCCAGTCTCAGCAAAGTCGTTGGAAGTTGATGAAGAGTGCGAAATCGTGGAGGAATGCGGGGAACAACCCTCGTGCCAGATAGGTAAGCCTGTCCGATCCTGCTTAGGACTGGTAAATCCCAAGATAGTTTGTACAAAGAGACAAATCACTGCTTAACGAACTAAAAAGGAAACCGAGCTTTGATAGAAAGGGTAGCTTTGATTCCGAAAACGAAAGGCAGTAATTAAAATAATTACATTTGGTAACGAACGTCCTTGAATGGTTCCTAATGTAACGCACATATCCTGCCATGTCTGCTATGCTAGTAGCTTCTGGCACATATCGAGGATTAGGTATCGTGACATCCAGCACGTCAACCTAATCCCCATAAGGCTTACAACATCTCTGTCGTAGCGTGGCTCCCTAACCTCTGCGCATTCATACACGTGTGCTATGACACCGTGTAGCCATCAGGTTATCGCAAGTAAAAAGGGCTTGAAAGATCCTTAACAGATATAGTCATGTAGGCTCCTAGTTAGGCAAAACTTTCGAGGTCGATATTCGACTACTATTACAGACAGTTAGCATCCGCACTCTACGTCTTCCGTATCTTCACTAACAGTTTTCGGTAGACCTAGACTTCGGCGAAGTGAAGAAAAGCAACTTCCAGTTCTTCAGTGCAGCGTCACGGTGTTCCAATGTAGAGGGTGCGTAGCGGTCACTGCCGATAGTATTGCGGAATATGTTGATGTTTGCGAATTTCACTAAAGCCACCAGATCCCATGGTTCGCTTCCAAGACCGTTTGAGGGTAACCCCTGATATACAAATTCAAAATCGCCTGTCTCAGTCGCGAGTCTGCTGATTTCTCTAACGAATCTCTTGAACCAGGCTTCTTGGCCACTACAAGGTGGATGCGAACTTCCTTCTGAATATTGAGCTTGCTCGTTCCATTGTAAATGGCTGAGCATAAAGACAGGGTAGTCTTCAGGGAAGTCCTTTGGTATGTTGTTGGCAAGGGGTCCGATTTTTGCCATTTTGATATAGGAAAAAGATCGAGGACGGTATAAAAGATGTGTAGTGCGCGGGTTTGTGTTTAAATATCTCCAGTTCCGGCCATTAGCAAATTGGCACAAGATCAACCGGTTTCAAGGGGTTGAGTCTGGAGCATTCTAGACCGTACTAGATTCCGGTCTTATATCTGCGTTGAATTCGGGGCCTCATGGTTGAAGGGAACTTGCTTCTCTGTAGTCCTTCAATACCCACACCAGATTCAGGTTCAGCTCTTATACGGGCGAGGTGCATGTCTCTGTTCTCAGGCTCCAGATAATAAGGAGCGGTTAACGCGGCAGGGGTAGCACCTCCCCGCAGCCTCTCTGGAAGATAATCTTTGCCCTTTTTAGAACTCATTTTTCAAGCCAAATTTCAGGAATTTCATTTTGATATCCTGAAATATATAAGAATTGAACCACTCCATACCTGCTCTCACCTAATCTCGAATTTTTAAAAAAAAAGGAATGTCAGCACACTATCACTAATTATGATTGGAGAGGAATCAAGATATCAAAGAGTGAGATTGACTCTCCCGAGGTCGACCGGAGTGATTACTCATCTTTAAAGCATGCCTGGGCACCCCTTTTGGAATACAACTGGGCGAGCTGCAGATCGCACGTCGGCTGATACTTGCTTTCTCTCTTGTGGCTGATCACCTACGTTCTGGTCTCCCTCCTTGATAGTTTGCTCTTCTTCCTGGTAACTTGCAGTCCCGGTGAAAGGATTATAGTTCAATGCCGAAATATCTCTAGGCACCTTTGCATGAAATTCTGCTACCGCTCAATGCATTCTATTCGTACCAGTATAGCTTGTTGTTGTCTTGTTGTCGTTGCAGAAGGCCAGCCAATTGACGCATTTGAGCTTGGAACATCTCTGACTGTTGCAAAGTGACTGTATCAGTATTGGAACTCAAGCTGTATTAGATGTATCTCTGTCTATGATGTCTATAACAAAAGAAAGAAGAAAGGGAAACAGAGCACACTCCTCTAGAACTAACGGGTAAGCAATAGATCACCACTGCCAGATATATGAGCTGTTGGGAAAGAGAACGGGCAAACCCCATCTTGAAAACATAATGAGAAGGAAGTCAAAGGAGTGCTGCAGATAGGCAGCTGGATAGGAGAATCGAACAACATAGTTGGGAAAATACAAAAAGAAGAGACGCGGGGGCATCAGACGGTGGATGTAGGGGTAAGCGAACAGGTAAATCTCAACAGCCTCTCTAATCCTCGGCCTTCTTAGTACTCTTGGTCCTGAGTTTCATCATGAGGAACACAAGCCCGTAAATACCAATCACAAAGGCTACAACGATTCCTGCGTTTCTCCAACCGAAATATTCCTCTTTGAGGTTCAGTGTACGCAAATAATCCCCACCCTGCGTGTATTGACACACCTGGCAGCCAGAGGTGTCGTCTGGGTTCAGAAGATTTGCGCCCGCCCCCATGTTATGGAGGTAGCTGTCAAGATAATCGCTGCATGTTTGGTTGGGGGGTGGATTGAATACGGCCAGCTCCTCTGGTCTGCAGTGGATGGGTTTGTCCCAGGTAGTGAAGACCAGTAGAGAGCTCATAAGGTAGTTGAAGGGGTCAATGTAGTACATCCTATTGTTAAATATTGTTAGAACTGTCCGAATGCGTTTGTAATTAATGTGAGGATAGCCTACCAGTATCTCCAAAACGGCACGATTTGGCTGTATGGAATCATGACGCCGCAAAAGGAGACAAGGGTTGTGATGACGAGAGGGTTGACGAGGGATGCGAAGACGGCGTTTGGTGTATAAGCAGCGATCATTTGTCCAATACCAGTGTAAAGGAACTCATACATCACCTGAAGAGATGTAAGCGACGAAGAAAATGGACATAGAGTATGAGGGGGACTTACAACAACAAAGAAAACACTGCCAGCGTGATCTGCGGAGGCAGGGAGGCCGCAAGTGAAGTACCAACAGACATAATATAACAATGCGCAGACGAGCAAGTAAGGCATTTCCGAAACGATAAGGCCAGTGACGAAAGGAGCCCAGTGGTACATTTTGCTCTTCTTCTCTCGCGCCTCATAGATATCGCGACGGTCGATGAAAAGAGGCTGGAGCTGGGAAATGACACCTGGAGCGACGAAAATAAAGTTGAAGACAGTAAAGAGGTTTTTCTGCAAGTCTGTAACCGAGTCTCCGATCATCCAGAAGGTAAAGCCGTTCAGAAGCGCCAAGCTGATATGCATCGCAAATTTATTGTTCAGGTATTCGGTGTTCCGGAAGAGTGAGATGTTCATGCGTTGCGTCACATATTTAGTCTGCGTCCACAGTGAAACTGCAAACTCGCGTTTGTCGTCCTGAACTGCTGGGGGAGCTGCAGCTTCGGTGATGGTATCAAGTTCCCTAGAGAGGGCCTCATGTTCCGCGGATTGCAGCCAGATTTGGTTCCAGTTTTGGCCATCGTCTCTTGAACCAGAGACAACATCGATCATATGCTCTGCGGGGTTAACTCCAGGAGGACATGGGGCTCCATGACGACCGAAGTATTCCCTTATATCGTTCGCATTCTGACCGATGTCACCAAAGTAGACAGTTTTCCCGCCAGCAGCCAGCAATAGTAGTTTGTCAAATTGCGCAAACAATTGGGCAGAGGGTTGATGGATAGTGACCAAAATAGCCTGTCCGACTTCTGCCAATTTCCGAAGGAAACGAACAGTATTGTACGCGGCCTGTCCATCAAGCCCTGATGTAGGCTCATCAAGGAAGATCAGAACACTCGGCTTTGCTACCAGTTCAACTCCGATGGTGAGCCGTTTCCGTTGCTCCACGGAGAGACCACTGCCTGGGCGGCCTACAAGCGTATGCTCGAGGTCGTGCAATTCTAGGAGGTCGATTATCGTATCCACATATCGCAATTTTGCTTCGATCGGTGTATCCTGAGGTTGACGCAAGAGGGCCGAAAATTCCAGTGCCTCGCGGACGGTCGCAAAAGGCTCATGAACATCAAGTTGTTCAACATAACCAGCTGAGCGCTGGAATGAAATAGGAAGGGGCCGCCCGTCAATGAGGATAGATCCATGAATAGTGCCAGAAGTTTTTCGCTGAGCAAGAACGTCAAGGAGAGTCGTCTTGCCAGCACCAGAAGAACCCATGAGAGCTCCAAGTGTGCCTGGTTTAACGTAGCCCTGCACGTTATCAAGGAGAACACGCTGGCCGTCGGGCGTTTTGACGGTGTACGTTAAGTTTTTCCACGTGAATATGCTCCTATTCCGGGAAAGGGTATTCTCCAGAGGCTCACTTGATGTGGTCGATCCGGCTTTGACTGTTGGTGACTTCTCCGATGGCTGCGCTTCCTCGTCCCTGGGCTGCAAAAGATGCTTCGACTTATGTTGCTTTTCGCGGGGAATAAGGAGTCTCCGGCCACCCTCTCCTGGCAGCTTCCACCTGGTGGTGAAAAAGATCGTGGCCACAGCGAAGAATACCCACCAGGCGCAAACGATGCCAAAGTTGCGCCAAACATGGCTATGGCTAAAGGACATGGCTGCCAGGTATGCATCGCCGGTGAGACTCGTCGCACCAGGCTCTGCTCCAAGAACACCAGCACAGGATTGTCCACCCTCGCCATTGACATATCCAGGGCCGTTCGGGATGATATGGGGGCCATAGCACGGTATATCTCGCCCATGAAATTCATTCGCAAGAAGCGCTTCAAACCCATAGGCCATGGGGTTAATCCAAAAGATCCATACAAACCACGGATGCATCTCGGGCTTGATAATCATGTAGCCCATGTAGACAAATAGGGCTACAATGGAAAGACCGGAGACCTTGGTCGCAGCGTCGAAAGTAGGGAATGCAGCGCCAATAAGCCGGAAGAATCCCGTCATTGACAATGCAGTCATGAAGTTGGTGACCAAGTAGGTGAAGAATGCCGCAGCCGTAGTTTTCAGGCCAACCATGAAGTAGAGGACAATGCCAAAATGCGTCACTTGGAATAACAGTATGGGAAAATCTGCGACGATCTGAGCGATGCAGACAGCTGCTGGGTGATACAAAGCAAAGGAGCGATGCTTGGCCAGAATAGGCCTACCAGTGAAAGAGTCGGTCACTTCTGATAGGGCTATCAGGGCGTTGTACAAGATTGAGAAGAACAAGGCGCCCCCCTTGATGAATAGACCGACTGAATTATCGGGAGCTGAATAGAAGAGAGAACCTCCGAGAAGAGCCTGGATCAACGTGGCGCCCTGCTTCATGATAAGAGTCGGCTTGTCACCCCACATGAGTTGGTACTGTCTGGTGACAGCGGTTTTCACCTGGGTAATGAAGTCAACAGTGACCGAAGACTTCTCAGGAACACCCTTGTGTTTGTCACGAGAGACAATTTCCTTGAAAACGGCCGTATTCGTCGCAGCTTCCTCACTGGTTGGGTAGTTTTGAGACTCCTGCTGCATCTTTTCTTTGATACCCGACTGTTCGTATATAGCAAGGATATCAGAAGCGGTACGGGGGAACTTGTCTTCATATCCTGGCGCAATGAGTCGCTCGGTTGGGACTGTTACCCCAGTCAAGAAATCTGCGCGGTTGGATCCAGAATCCATCTTGAAGCCAAGATTCTCCATAAATGGCACAGCGCTCTCCTGGGGCCCGTAGAAAATTTGCTTGCCCTCATCGAGGACAAGTACCTTGTCGAAGTGCTCGTAGATGCCATTGCCCGCCTGGTAGAGTGTGACAATAGTAGTGAGGCCCAGAATGTCGGTCATTGCCCTGATTGCTTTGATCCACTCCAGAGCTGTGCTGGCATCGAGGCCTCTCGTGGAGTTATCCCAACAGAAAACACTGGCGCGCGTGGCCAGACATTCAAGAATCGACACCCGTTTTCTCTCTCCTCCGGAAACACCTCTGATAAATGCGTCGCCAACTTTCGTACGGGCGGTATGGGTTATCCCGGCGGAGCGCAGAAGGAATTCCTTGAATGACTGCACATATTCTTCTTGAGACTCAAATCCCGGTGGCAGGTTATAGGGAACCTTCATGCGAGCGGCGAAATTGATGGTATCCTCCACACTCAGGGTCGGAAAGAAGATCTCCTCTTCGGTGTTCATGATAATTTGATCACGATAACGTTTGGCATCTTGGGAAGACATGTTTCCGTAGGTGACGTCTCCGGTAATTTCTTCGTAGCCGAGTCGATTGTTGGCGAGCAAGCTTAGCAGGGTCGTGCAACCAGCCCCGGGTCGTCCAAGGACAAGTAACATCTCCCCGGGCTGAACACACCCATGTGAATTCTCAATGATGGTCTTCAGCACCTCTCTTTTGCCATTGTGGTGAAAAGGATAAAGCTGGGAGATCACATTTTCATTAAAATTGGCGTCTCTCCCAATGCCCTTCACCGTAAGATTCTTCCATGAAACGCCGAGCTTCCTAGGTTTCCCTCCCCCTTCTTCGTCGAGGCCCTTCATCTGGCGCACTTCAGATGCCATGTGCCATGTCGTTGTTGTGTTGGTGATGGATGAATTTTCTGCTGGGTCCTCTGCGTGCGAGGTTTCATCGGCGATGGTGGACTCTACATCGACAGTTGTCGAGTTGGAGCTCATTTTGAGGTCGGTACGGAGCGAATGAATGAGAGGAATGACGAACTGCGTCAGATGGAACTGTCTGCTGTAAATTCCGGCATGTGCTAAGCGATTTATACAATCTTCAATAGAGGGAGGAGGGAGGTTTTATTGGCATCATTTCTATTCAGTCCATGCTCCACTATAGCTTGGCTCTATGCTTAGACGCGAGGGAACCCTCCTTAGTGGAGCGAGTTCTTAGCCCCTGGCGGAATGATTAGTATCGCGGCTTGGATATGGACTGGCGGAATGATTAGTATCATGGCTTAGATATGAGATCTGTGAAGATCGCCCGCTCCAAATTGACTGGTACATATCGTGATAACTCCATCAAGGCTAAAGGTTACCCACTAGGGTACCAGGGTAGGTTAGAGATTAGCACTCCATGGGCGCCTGTAGGTATGGTCGCCAATAATGGTGTCTGAAATGCTAGCGGTTTCCTCCACTTCAATTAGTCGAAGCACTCTGTTTGCATATGAATCGATTTTTTAGATGAATCATCGCTCCGCACCCGAGGTTCAATTTTAGATGAATAATCGCTCCGCATCTACGTAGGTAAGCTCTTTTTTTGATGAATAATCGCTCCGCTGCGAATAGTAGTACTTATACGTCGTGTAGTCTTCAACCAGCTTAGGTATATGTAAACTGCCTACTCAGCCCTCATTACATACCGATAATCCTATATCCTAAAGTTGAAATTAATCATGCTGCGCTGCGCTCAGTAAACTATAGACCTAATTTTTTTTAATTAAGGTTTTAAGGTTTATTGTTCTTCCGGCCCGATATTACCAATAACGTGACTCTTAAGTCACGTGCTTGTGCTTCGTACAGCACGTGATCTACTAATTCCCTAATGTCGTGTGTACGAAAAGCACAGTCACGTGCTAACTGCCTAATTAGGAATCGAACGGTGTTTATAAGAGCGTAGTGTATGTGTCATCTATGATTGCCATTTTCGGAGGTGTAATCATCCGGCCACGTTATCCAGCCATTCCCACAATTAGGGGAGGGAGGGTTCATGGTTACCAAAATGATATTGCTGGTGAGTGGCACTCCCTCTCGATGCGTTGCTACTAGTTTTGGGGTAGACGGAATTACGGCAGGCAGGACATCAGGTCATCTTTCATATCCTCTGAGTCGACAAGACGCTATATCATGGGTTGTGTCCGGCCACCAGGGTGAGAAATTGTTACAGTTACTGGCAAAGGGGAGGTAGAGGAAGAATAATCATTATCAATCAATCAATCGAGAAAAGAGCAAGGTATTTATACCCTGCACAAACGAGCTTGCAAAACAGGCAACTCAATCTGCAAGCAAACAACGAGAGATGGCATAGTCCAACAGGAATTCCAGCTTCCAGTCTGCACCAGCATTGATGACGACCACATTTGGCTTGTAGCCGAGTCTACGTTATATGCGACGGTTGTCATGCCATGTACTATATATATCGGAGGCTGAGATATCTGAACATAATGCTCAGATATAGTGGTCTTGTATCCCAGTCTGTAACTCGCCAGTCTAGGGGCAGGTTGTAACAACGTTATCTATGATCTTCCGTGTCTCTATTAGACTTGCTACCAGCGATGTCTACCTATCAGTCACAAAAGCGAAGCTGGTAACTTATATTCCTCCGGTATCCATAGTCAATGGGAGATTTGAGTCTTCAAGAGATCGATGCAGCCATAGGGAGAAATCTTAGTACGCCCAGTATCACGGCTAGGCTGAGAACGATGTTAGCAAAATGACGTGGTACAGTCCGCAGTCATATCAACCCCGTCATGTGGTGAAGCCAGGAGATCTCGGGCACCAGGTAGCAGGCAAAAGGGCCTGGCAAGACGATGACCGGCTATTTATTGACAAGACATACCGGGCCCCAAGTCACATATGTCTAGAAGAGAAATGGAAGCCGCTTGTATGAGACATTTCATTTTAATCTCTTGGCATGGTGCTTTTTCCCGCGGTTATTCTTCTTTTGCAGACTTTATACTCAGGCTATCACAATGGCAGGGGTGTGCAGTATTCTAGAGGCGTTGAGCTAGTGCAAAGCTAAGGACTAATTAGGAGATTAGATGCGTTGTGGTATTTGACATTTACAACTAAAATATGCAGTTAAAAAGGACGAAATGTTGACAGAATGTATTAGTTCAAGGGAAGGGAATGACAGGAATCAAGCGGGCGATATATTTAGGTCCGTGAAGCTTAAAGAGTGATCTTCATTCCGAGAAACCACAATTTTGTGAATAAAATTGTTCTTATCGCTATAGCTTCATTCATGAGTGGTATCCCCGAGAATCAGCAAAATAAATAAACAAATAAATAAATAAATACAACTATGATTATTGTGTGAGGCTAGTATTTTCCAATCCCGACTAGCAGTGCCAATTACACTAAGAAACTCGACAGCCTTGACGTGGTCCGACGGCACATGCCGCAAGCTAGAAAGGGTGGACTTGAAAATGAGGACTAGCAATATTCATATGGAAATTTGGAAGAAAGAATATTTGTGATAGAAGAAAAGGGCCTAGTCGGGTGATTCCACAAGATATCTGATTCCGCCCCCAATGCCTAGAATTGCGTATGTGCTCCGTAACCACCCTACATTGAGAGAATTGCCCCCCGCTAGACCATTCATATCAACACCGCTTTCCCAAAACGCATAAACAACGTGTCTACCATGTGGGGCGGAGGCGTATCACTGCACATACCTAAAACAACCTTTGAACCTTGAAAAGCCGTTCATCCCGACCGGGACCACGGGAGATCCAGATGCCGCTACCTAATGCACGGCCCACCTCGTAACCGCAAGATGGTGCTTGATATGGGAATAAGTGGGGCATAATTGGGAGGACACCTTGGGAGCTAAATCGATTGTTTATGGTGATCCTACACAAATTGTACCTATATTATTAAATTTGCATTATGCATGCCCCTCGATAGCCCGTGTATCCGCAATATGGTATGATGACGGTATTTGAGCAAATATCCTAATTTCACATGTTTTACCCTACTGTATTCGGAGACATCAGGAGAGTACGGAAGTACTTCACCCCGGAACAATATTATTAAAAAAAAATCAAGGTTATCCCCGGATATTTACATGCTATGGTACCTATAATTTGTATGGAAGTCCTAGTATTCTGGAAGTACAACTTTAATTTAAATTTGGAGACTCACCCACGTGCGGAGTTACGACTAATTAGGTAATTATAACTGGATATCCATCCATGGACGTACGCTAGGCAGCTTCTGGTAAGTTAACATCATCAATTAATCTATAACCCAGCTCTCGTCTGCGTCCAACCTCGACTGGATTCAAGAGTTGGTGGACCATCTTACTCTAGCTGTTAATCAAGAGTGATATTAGCAACTCATCTACTGCTATGGCGTTCCCAAACTGGCTAAGCGTGGATGCATTCCCAATCACTGTTGACGACATGTCTAACCAATCATGTAGTAACCTTTCCATTTCGACAGTATTATCCTAGCTTAATTTAAGTCAGATGACAGTTTCTTACGTCTTATTTTCATCGTGTAGGAACAATCTCAACGTAGATCATCAGGTGAAATCTCCGTACTGGCCTTACAGCTTCGTCCTCACAATGGCTGCTGCGAGTTTGATCGCCACCGTTGGAAATGTCAGTGTACTACGATTCGCCTTTGGTTTGGAGGTACCGCCTAGTGGGATGGGTAGCTTTAAACCCATCTCCTTTTCGCGCCTAGGTAGGTCATTCTTTGCTTTATTGTTTGGAGGCGGAGCATCAATGCAGCTCAAGATCCTGTGGGGGAGACAGAGCCCTTGTGGAGCGGCCGTTAGGATTACGAACTCGACTATTAATTAATTCTAGATATTTTCCACGAGGCATGTACAACTTGGTGGGATCCACATTCTTGAACACGTTTCGGGTGGAGCCTAGGAATTCGTCCATGGCAAAACAAGACGACTCTTAAGGTCCGCACCCTTACTTCCCCAATTCCACCGTAGCGCCCTGAATACAAATCGGAAATCATCCTCCGGAAAATTGATTAAATTATAATAGGATCAACGGATTAATATGGAGCATACCGACGTATGTCTTATCTAACGTTAGCCAATTATCTATGCTGCTAGAAATATGTCTTGCAACCAAAACAGAGACAACAGAGTAAAATATATATTTTATCAACTTCACTGCTTATCGCAACCGGGAAAACCTCGGCTATAGCGGTGTAGTTCTATGAGACCACCCCCACAAGGGTCCACGGGTAGTCTCAATGTATGAATGGCATCGAACGTTTGAATCAGATGGAAATTTATGTATCTAACGAAAATAACCAAAGACTGGAAATGACAAGAAAAAGTGGTAGCCTGTACATTATGATCAAGGTGCTTACTCCGTATCCCATATCGAGCGTCATTTACCTGTAGATTAACGGATCTCGGGGAAGTGTATGGTCGATCATAAACCCGGCACTAACTGTAATGATAGCCCGGGCGGGAGAAGCCGCATGTGCCTACAATGTTGATAGTAATTACTAATACCGGTAATTAATGTTAATCACTTGCCACTCTGTAGCTCACCCTTTCCAAATTTAATTGATTGAATTCACCTGAAATATGGCACTCAATATTGGTAGCATGCATGTATTAGCGCCCCTTCTTGCCTAGGCTATCTTGGCAGGGTAAAAAGGTGGAAATTTAATGTCTTGATGTTGTACTTTGTGAGTGACAACGGTCCGTGGTGAACGACAGGGGAGAGCCACATCGAGTCCCACTTGATGCCCACGTCGCGGGTGTGAATGCTGATCTTTGGCCCTTGAAGCATGAATTAGCGTAGGCGAAGCAATGTGGCTTTGGAATACGAGATATCGAACCCCTGCCAAGGGCGAGAGCAAGTATTTTGCCATGTGGAAGCAGTTAACCTTTGCAGGGATATACATTGACATCATTTGTGTATGTAGTAGCATTGTCGGAGCTCGGAGTTCGGAATTATATGCCCTAAAGGGGCAAACCTCACCCAGTAATGTCGGATTTTAAATTCCTATTTAGTGCTTCTAGGGTAAAGTTTGAATTTAATATGTAACCTTGGAACGATATCCCTTCTCACGGGGACATATTGAACCCAGATCAGTAATCCAAAAATCTTAGTCGGGCGGGGGGTGAGCGGCCAAATGCATGTGCATTGACCATTGCTTGAAGCTTGAAACCTTCGAATGGAGATGTGGAGAGAGACATGGCTCGATTAGCATAGAATAAGCGAAGAAACTCAGGATATCTATAATTCCAAATCATTATGGGGCTAGAAGGTTACATAGCAACCGAAAGTGGTAATTACGCGGGCTCTACAAATTATATATCGGGGAATGGATAGGCATCTATATTGTATGTTGTATTGGCCCCCACGGTCTAAGACCCCAGCTTCTCGATGTAACCTGAATTCCTGTGGGTCAAGGGATAGGGTTCTCTGAAGGAAAAGAGTACGGAGCCAATACGCCCTTCTGTATGAAAGTGTTGAAGTGATTGTAAAAAGTACCCAAGCTCAGAAGAAAAGACCCACACAAGGCAAAATGATTGGTCGTTGCGTATATGCATATTGAACGCCAAAGTGGGTCTCGCCCGGAGCCTCGTTAGTGAAAAATCGGGAGATCAAAACCATTGAAGTGTTGGATCGACGGAATGTGTTAAATTCTTTTGTTTCTCTTTGTTTTCTTATATAAAATGGGACTAGAACCAATCACATTTAGATGTTGGTTTCTTTTCGACTCAGATTCCTGCAACATGCCATGCAGTGATCCATGCAATGACCTATGCAATGATCCACGTGTAATTCGCCAAAAAATACTTAGGCAGATTTAACCCAGATAGTAAACCCTGCCTCATACCCCATTCAGGAAATGAAGGCGATACCCAGGGTTCTCTTTTGATCGGCATCAAATCTATCATCAGGGTTACTGATCACCCCACGGCCGAAACCAAACGCTTAGTTGAGGTATTTTATCAGAATTCTATTTGTATATTTCCAAAGATTTAGATGTCCTTCCCTCAAATGCAGTACAACATACGGAGTACTCCGTAGAACACCTCATTCAATCATATTAGGATCCGAGATGTGGGTAAACACTTAGTGGGGCGAACTATCCAATAGGATAATTTTTGGTCCGAAAGTTATGTGGGTGATCCAAGGCGCTGATCTGATCGACTGGGAGGTGATCCCCCGTCATGAAATCAGCGAACGATGCTCCATTTGATTCTGCCCTATATCCCTGCTAGCTGAAATTTATAAGACTCGGCGTTCTGTGGGTCGTTTCAGGCTTTTTTTCTTTTTTCTTTTTTGTTTGACTATTTAGTATTAACTAGCTTGATTCTTGATTATGTTATTAATTAGCCACTCCAAGATCGGCATATAGGTTGAGGATTTGGAGATACGACCGAGACCGTCCGCCATATCCACACCCCCATAGAGCTGTTGACGCTTCTAAAAGCCTTAAGAAACCCCTTTCCCCTTTCTCTTTTTTTTCCCATAACTATCTCTTTCTATTTTTCCGAGCTCCCATAACTTTCACGAATAAACGTGTAACTCCCGAAAGGGAACCGCCTAATTCATACGACAGTATACTTCATTTATTTTCTACTACAAAATGTCCACATTTACCCCATACACCGCTTCTATTGCGCCGCCATTTGACCTTAACGGCGCTACTCCCATGCCCTCAACACTACCAAGTAGCACACAACAAACGGAGATGTATCCCAGTCCTATGAACGCTCCTTCGCCCCAAACGAACTCCAACCGGGTCAGCAAAGCTATGAAGGGGAAGCGAGTCCACGCATGCGAGCGCCCCGGATGTCAGAAGGTGCGCACTCTTGAGATATTGCCGATGAATCATCTCGCTTACCACCATACAGGTGTTTACCAGAGCCGAACACCGCAGAAGGCATGAGCTTAGCCACGAGCCCAAAAGGCAGTACCCTTGCACATTCAAAGGGTGTCAAAAAGCATTCCATCGTCCAGATTATTTGACTCAGCATATGGGTCGGCAGTGAGTAATCCTTAACAGCCCCAAAAGGTCGAACCCATAGACTAATCCGAATAAAAGTGAGAGTGCAGCACGAAAGGAAACCGCATACCCCCAGAGCAACACATCAACTCATCAGCCAACCTTGCAACAGCCGATGCAATCGCCACCAACTAACTCCCCTCGGATTCCATTTCAAGCGGAAACTTCCGACAATTTCTCCGGCGTTTGGGGAAGCATAGATTCCTCAGTCTCATGTCCCCAATATTCCAGAGGCCAGAGCCAATCTTCTACACCCGTCGACGACCACCCTTCCCCATACTCTTACACAAATGAGAACTACACGAACGAGATGTGCAGCTCGCCCGTCCCGAGTGATTCATTCACGAACCCTCAATACCCCACCACAGGCATGCCAGTAGAGATGGTAACTGCTATCGATCAATACCTGCGGAGCATCTTAAAACCCGAGGCGTTTTCACTACCCCAGCAAATGGACCCGGCGATTTGGGGCCCGGATATTGATATCGATCCTACGTTAACAAAGACCGAGAGCACAGTGAGTGGCCAGGAAACCGCCAAAAAAAACAATTGGCTAATATTTTTCAGGACCAACTACCGCTCTATTCATGGCCTCCTACACATTTGCAATACGGGGATCATCTACAAATGAACCAGCTGTCCGGCAACCGCTGAGAATTACCAGTTAATACGCCACTTCGGCCTTTTGTTGTTTTAGCGTTTTTGTCCTTGTCTTACATCTTCCGGCCTGCAAACTGCTAGGGTCATCTTGATATCTGGGCCCATTTCCGGCGCGTTTATACCATTCTTTTACTGATACGATACCATGAAAATATGTCATAAGACTAAGATTTAATTCAATCTGAGCTGCTTTACTAGACCCCGCGCAAGACAACGCACTACTGACCATTTTCAGCCGCAATCTCGGGCTGTTGGATTATCTACGGAAACTAGCTATTACATGATTACTTATAATACCCAGAATCCAACAATTCCCACATCCCCCATCTTCATATTATGTGATTGGTGTGCTCGGATTAGCTCCACGTGTTAAGCGCCCGGTCAAACGATCTGCAAGGCGCACACACCCTTGCATATACGAATTAGATCTACAAACGGCCGACGCCACAGCCCTATCACATGATTTTAATTGAATCCTTCACGCGCTAGATGTGACCTCCCTTGCATGTGTGTTGGTTCTGATGCCTTGAAAAGGCAACAAGGCGAATCGCTTTTGTGATACCCAACAGCGCCTACAAACGGGTTGTCTCTCATCACACCGCTTAGTTGGAAGTGGTACTAAATCGCTTTCTTTGTTTGGTGGAACATGTGTGACCTCGGTCTCCTAGCGGATTCTAACTTTGTCGACGGAGTAGGCTGTCAACATGCATGCTTCTGGTCGATTATGATAGAGAACGAATACCTAACAAAGGTCCTCTCCTTGCATCTTTCATAGAGAATGAACAGAACCCGGTCAATAAAGTTATTTACTATAATGTTGGAATTTACGATACCTCGTTTCGATAGTAAGCTGAATGACCCGATCAGCCGCACCAAATCCAATCTTACTTTGCGGGAGTGTAATTTAAGTTTCTTTCCACGTTTCGTCCACGTTTTCGGTCCATATCCGGAAAATGCCCAGAGCGTCGATCGTGGCTCCTACCTAAGTAGGCTACCTAGTAAGCTTTAACGTTTTTTACGCGCCTTATGTATGCATGGACTAGAATAGTGGGCCGCATAAGGGGACATGTGATGTCTTTTCAGTGGTCTTTTTAGAGATTCTTTTTCAAAATATCCCTTCAGATATGTCAGTTTTGTAGTCGATAGCGGAAAAGACAGGAAAAGGCTTCGTGAAATTGGCTTTCGAAGACCAAAGTTTCCCACGAGGCTGATACTTCCGATCCACGTGGCACAAAATTCGGCATTACATACGTCGGCGATAAACTTCCGGTCACGGTCAGCACGATACTGAATGGGACTCCCCATCCATCCTGTGACCATCAAAAAGCTAAGTCGCCGGACAGCCCAAATCTCAGGTGTGTCGGTGACTTTTCCGGGTAGCAGGGCTACATTCTTCGACAATTGGCAAGTAACGCACATGCATGCATTGTTCTGCTTGGAAGATTCTGGTAGATTCACGATAAAATCTATGTCGATACATTGAAACGGCATCTGCGCGCTGTCGAGGGGGTTTGACGTCCCCCAAGGTTTATGGCGCTTCGTTTGGTGCGCCAGACAATTTGGGCAGTCGGCGATATATCGGCGTAATTTCTCTGACAGTCCCCTGATATAGAACTGACTGCGAATTTTGGTGGTACGCCGGATAGAAACCGAGGTGTTACACATCGTCGTGATTTGCACTGTAGGTTCGGTCAGACAGAAAGTCGAATGTGCATCTTAATTCACAAATAAACAAGCTTTTATCTCTTGGTCAAGCCAAAGACCGCGCACCTTTAATATCCAAACTATACATTATATACAATGGCAAGCTCCAACCCACAAATCACAAAATACCTCCAAGCACTTCGCTGCTTTATAGAATATGTTCCATAACCGGACCGGTATAGACGTTCCTCGCACGAGCATAGTAGTAGAAAAGACTGAGGATGATAGTCCCGAAAGTCCCAACAACACTATAGTTCATAGTCTGAACAGACACAACCCAAGCCGTCGGCCAGAAGGTAAAGAACACAGCGATGGTCATATAAACCAAAGCCCAGGTGTTGATAAGAATACCCCAGATACCGGGTAGATGAAATGGACCCCAGACGAGCTTCGCGCCGGCGGTGTTGATAACATCCGAATTGCTGCTACGAGCAGAGCTGATCCCGCCCGTGCACCGGCGCCACAGGAGCAAACCACCAACTACCATGTATGACAGGTACAATCCGGAGATCGACATCGAGCAGAGATCGTTGAAAGCGACGGGGGAGCCGATGCTGATGAGCGCGAGCAGACAGGCAATCACCGATGTTATCATAACGGAGTAGATGGGGATGGCGGAGGTTTCAGTGACCTGTTTTTTATTAGCTCGATTCATGAGAAATTACGAATTGAACATACCTTGCTCCACAATCGCCAGCCGGGAATACCGCGATCTCTCGCGAAAGACCAGAACTGGCGCGATGTCGAGGCTAGCATGCCGACAGATGTGGTGGCACCCATGGTTGTGACGATGGAAGCCATTGCGGCGGTTCCGGCTACGGAGCCTGTTGCTTCAAGGAAAATCGCCATGAAGGGCCATCCTGTTTTTGACTCGAGGGCTGAGCCTAGATCGCCGCTGCAGAATAGCATGGCGAGTAACATGCCGAAACCTAGGGATCCGTTGATTAAGACGCTGAGCATGATTGAGATTGGGACTGCGGTGGCGGCGTTTGTGATTTCTTCGGACATCTGAAATTCGAGGGATTAGTTTTTGATCTTGGTTGGGTGGGAGATGGAGGGACGCACATGAACTGCGGCATCACCGCCGGCAAATGCAAAGATGCAACCGACTGTTCCGACGAAGAATGATAGGCCTTGGGATGGGAAGTTGCCTGTGTTTAGGAACTGGGTAAAGACCTCCTCAGCGGTTCCATGGTCGGCCATGTAGGTTAGGGGAATGAGGATGGCGAAGAAGCCGAGGATGTGGATAATCAAGATCATGCCCTCGAATCGAGGAAGGACTTTTCCTCCGACGCTGTTGATGGCGACGGAGAATGCTACGACGGCCCAGAATAGAAGAGTCGGATGCCAGTTCTTGGGCTCATATGTACTGTTTGTGAGGATGATCATGCCTTGAATCAAGGTGCCGACCAGATAGCATGAGGTTGCAAATGTAGCTTGCCATCCAATGACCGTAAGCCAACCTGTAACATATATTAGTTTTAATTTTGCACTGTGGAGATCTGCCGCTTACCTGTCAGGTAGCTCATGAGTTTCATGCACGATCGCGGGGCAAGCATAGATGTCCAATGATACTGCCCTCCAGATGTCGGGGCCCTATTAATCGGTTAGCCTTGATATGGCAGAGAGAGAGAGAGGTGATTCCATACATTGATGCCAACTCCGATAGAACCACAAAGGTAGCCGCGACACCAGCCCAAACGAAGAGGAATCCATATACAGCTCCGGCTGGACCTCCACTGTGTAACTGTTAGCACTGCGGGGTGTCGACAACCTATTAGTGTCTCTTACTTTGCGTATGCTTGCAAGAATAGTCTATGCAAAGTCAGTCAAGGTTTTTCTCAGGCTTAGTTGTTTATCACTTACACAACAATTCCCTCCCAGGTGATCAGAATTGTACAACTGAAACCAAGCATTGACATTAAACCAAAGTTTCGCTGTTTCCGTTAATCCATATTCGATACAAATTCTCAAACATCATTTACCTTCAAGACGGGGCGTTTGCCCATGCGCGCAAGATTGGCATCATCAAGCTCCTTCCTTGATAACTCGCCGATCTCCTGCGCCCCCGAAGACACCTGCTTCGAATATTTAGACAACATATTGGATATGTGATAGGAAAAAGCAAAACCTCCAGATCAAAGGAGAATAATGAATCTTTTTGCCATGGAGGTGCAAGGGTCAAGGGGCAAAAGGTTTGAAACTAGCGCAATCAATTCCAATCAATTCTGCACACATGTGGTTGGAACATTTTATGCGCTAATGCAGCAGGGATGTTAATATCAGGTCATAAGTCTCGGCATAATTTATGTGGCGTTAAAATATCGGGAGATATTCGAAAGGTTCTAAGCGATTGCAAAATGAGGGAGTTCAGCCGCGCCACTGGCGAATAACTACAAAGAACAGTGGTAATTGAGTTCACTCTATCGGATATTATTTAGGATGCGATGTTTATTAGACTTCAATTTTAGTGGATTGAAGTGGATTGAAGTGGATTGAAGTGGATTATAGTGGACTTTTAGTGGATTTTTAGTGGATTTTTAGTCGATTGTCTGATACCATATTAACTATTGTTATTGGTGGAGGTCTATAAGCAGAAGAGGTCAATGTCTAGAAACAATATAGAACCTGCACTAAAGTGGATAAGCGAAGGAATCAAGGATCTTTCCGAAATATCCTCAGCTCTGTACCCCTCCAGTCACGGTCCAAGTCCGTGTCTCCATAATTATGCGAGATTGACTGGACTGGCTTTCATTATCGTCTTCCCGGGTGGATGTCACTACCGTCTCCGTCCCTTGGTGGGGCATCGACACTAGTTCGTGAGTTTCACTTCCTTGCGTTCCCTGCATCCGACGAGAATTTTTAAATGTGCTAACAGCATATGTCCGATGTTTGCTCCCGTAGTTGGAACTCGTCATACCCAATCCCATTCCTGATGATCGCAGATTATCCAAGAAAGGTTTGAACTGGGGAGAACAGGCTGTGACAATGCTCAAGGTTTGAGCTACTTGAGTGGAAACAGCGACGGCCCAGCTCTCAAAGGTGGAATCGGAGGAGGAATGTAGTTGACTGGCGTAAGCGAGTTGGCAAATAATCGCGATAATAACGCTGTGAGTACCGTTAGTGGATTCTCGTAAACTGGAGCCTAGATTTCGCACGTACATAACTCGGATCAAGAACACGCTAGACAGACTAGCCTTTCTGCTGAAATCGGTCTGGATGCGAACGATAACTAATAGTGCCTGGCTCATTATCCCGGCTTCTGTCAAGATATTCGTGATGCCGAGGTAATTCCACCATGCACCCTGGTATAAGGTTAGCTAGTTTCTCATTACGTATCGAAAGGCCACTCACTCGGTCGAAACAACTCCCATAGAGATAATTCCATGTCTGCGGTACACCACATTGGAATGCAGCCGTGAAAATGCTAACAATAGTCCACAGTCCGATCGATATTCCCAACACGAGCGCAAATCGGCGATCCAAGGACGCGGGAGTCAAGTTGCGGATGAAGACCAAAAGCGATAGTTTAGAGAAACAAATGCTGGCGATGAATAGAATGGTTGCGGCGTACTCGGCCTAGTGATTCAAACTGGTTAGAAATGATCCAAGAAAGAAGCTTCTCTTATCCATACCTTCATTATAGTTTCGAGTGTAAGATCAGACAACATGTTACGATGTTGTCCAAGTCCATGCGCTGTCGCTACCGAGACAGCAATTGACTGCGCGATACAGAGCGCCAACGAAGCAGAGGCGAGGCCATCATCAAACGTCCACTTTCGAAAAATGAAGTATTTTGTCCCTAGACGTGTCAAGACACTCAGAATAGCTGTCACCAGCATAAACCAAGTTAAGACATTGATTCCAGGAGTCCAGGTGTTTTTCAACTCTGGACGCATCGCGACGATAATGAAACGAAAAGACAAAAAGGCTTAAAGCCGTGTGTACCCAGGCATTGCATGTTGTCTACGTAGGCTCAGCTAACTTTAATCGGGGGTTTCAGCTGATGAAGATGATTGCCACCGAGCAAATAGATGTCATTGGTGTAAATGCCAGACTAGATCAGTTAATCAAAAAATTCTTGTCAAAGTGAAATACATTGCACTTGCAGGGATATTAAAATTTTGGTCGCCAAGATATCATCTTATTCGTGTAAAAGTGAATCATTATCCACTTAGAAGCCAGAGGCTCGACTTCCAAGTGTTGCGCAGGAAATGCCAAGTGAGCAATTTATTATCCCTGTACAATTTCTGCTTCCTTCAATCTTAGTTGTCATCGAACTTCTAGAAACTCGGCACTCGAACCCCTTATCCCATATGCCGTTGTAACCTTCTCGGCTTCGGCCTATCTTCCGTGGCAGACTCCGTACAACCTACGTGTCTGGTTAATTAATTAACTCATTTCTTATACCAGCTTTATGTTTGGAGTATAATGGGTTCATTTAATATGTCTTACATGGAGATTTTCTGTCGCACCTTCGGACCCTGATTAGAGGGCACAACTCATATACATCCGTGCATCCGGGCTTGAATTATTTATTCGCACATTGAAATTCTACGATATATAACTGCCAAGGAAGGGTAAAACAGGCGATATTAAACGGGCAAATCTTATCAGCCAATTGAATCAAGCCAGGCTCTCACTCGATCTTCAAGACCAATGAGCCCTTTCGAGTCTCGATCATCAGTCTCATCTTCCCAATCATCTTCCTCCTCCTCCCAAATACCTCTAAGCCATTCATCTTGATAGATACTCTCTGACGGTTTACCCTCCCCGTTAATGCTCAACCAGAGGAAGATGTACAACGTGGCTTCTTCAGAAGCCAATTGGTCAAGCTCTCTCTTCGGGAACAGTCTCGGCTCTTTGACATGGATCATGTCGCAAGGATCTTCGGTCACCGTTTTTGTTGTAAATCCCTCATCCCGGATAACGCCTTCCTGCAGTTCACAATTCCAATGATGGTATTGGTATTCATGTCGAGCACATTTCAAATGCGAAGTAACTCGAAGCGCACAGTCCTTTGGTAACGATATTCCCCAAGGTTCCCAAGGCGTTTGGGGCCTCTTTCGAAAAAGCAGCTCGTCACCTTCGGTTTGAGGAAGGTGTAGTAAGCGCCATACATCTGGCCTTGAGATGTGTTCCGGATTTCCGTGCGCGTATGAACCCGAGCCTGCGATATCCATGAAAGTTTGAAGACAGCCTGTCCAGGGAAACGAATATGCGTCGAGGGGTGGACAGGCTGTTCTGACGTTTGCAATGATTGTTGGGGCTAGTCCGCCTGCAGCTGCTCCCATCCAAAGTGCACCTATGTTGGGTCGACGTATTGCGCCAATTAAAGCGAGTGTTTCGTAATCCTTTCCCGTGGGAGATGCTAGTATCTCCTCAAAAAGCGGGTGCAGCCAAGGAGCGACGAGATTGCACGGAACGTCGAGTTCCCAGAATGATCCGCAAAGAGTAGACATCATTACTTCTGGACTGCAACTCAAAGTCATGTAATAGGGCAGCTCTTTGTTTAGACTGGACCATATTGTTGGAATAATATCCGTGGGAGTCGTGGGCTGTTTACCACTAGTTGTTCTTGGAAATGGCAGTTGGACAGTTGACATATAGTATTGATGTGTCGGTAGTGTTATAGCTGTCATAAGTGCGATGGGGAATTGGCTACCCAGATTATGCAATCGCGCAAATTCAGCGAGAATATCAAAAGCCTTCTCTGACGACAAGGGTGTATATGAGGATGTTGGCGAAAAGCTCTGTTGTTTGATAGCAAAGCGTGTTTCGCATGTTCGCGACACCATCCACGGAGCGATAAATTCATCATGGCGGGTTCGTTTGACAATGGCTTTCCATCCTTCATGTTGAGCTAGAATCGCATACCACCACCGAGTTACATCCTCAGCCGCTTCCCCAACATCGATGATATTAGTGTCTGGAAGATCGCAAGAGTTTTCGCCGTAGTACTCGACCTCAGATGTCGTATATTGCATAGTAGCACCCTCCCCTTGCATTTCAACAAGCCGCGCAGAGAGTATATAGCACCATCCAATTGTAAGTATCCCTAAGTAGTTTGGGCACGTGTCTTTTTCTTCCACTGTGCCAATCCAAGAATTGAAGACATTACCATTGAAACTATAGGGAATAGTAACACTGGTGCCAATCTTGAGTACAGCATCGACTGTTCGTTCTCTCTCAATCATGTCGCATTCCGAGTCCCCTATTAACTTCCAAGTTGAGGAGGCTTGCATGCAGAGAACATCAGATGGGGAGTGCCCATAAGTGCGGACATGGGTTCTTTTAGGCCGTCCTTGGAATTTGGGGATCCTATGAAGAGTGCGGCGTGGGTTTGTGTGCTTTGGATCCAAGCCACGATCATGATGGACATCAGCTAGCGATGTCAGGTGATACCAATAATCACGACTTTTTTCCAGAGCCTCATCAACATGGCATGCCTGAGGCTGGATAGTGTTGAGGTTTTCAATAACCTAATCAGGCAAGATATATTAGCTTGTAATATCCTAGAGGAGGACTATAGACACTAACTGAGGAAAGTCGTGGAGGGCGTAAAGGATCCTTTCTCTTGGCTGAATCTGGTATTGAATACATTTGTAAGAGAAGATAGGCTGTCTATACGAGTGAAGGATGCTACATAGTATTCTGATGGTCGAAAAACCACAATATTATGTACGTGATGACTTGGAAATTTATCTGGGAACAAGGGGTGGACTCATCACATGTCCGATGACGGCTGATGAGGCTGATGTGGCTCGTGCTAGTTATACATACTACAACGCATGCATTATTTGCATAACAATAATATCATCAATAACGGAAGTTCTATTTACAAATTTAATGTCAAGATTGAATAGGACTTTGTCCTTTAGCTAAACAGTGTTTATAGTAAGTACACTCACACATTCACGATGGCCGGTATACCACTCATAGGACATTCTAAACGGCCCTACGTCTTTAACTGCTAGTAAGTTTTGTACTTATATCTTGACTTGCTACTTAGATTTAGACCTTGGATCTACTTGGATCGCTTTATACTTCATAGTTGTATTTCAAACTCCTTGGATCTAAGCAGAGAAGATCTACTGAGGATATAGATGTGAGGACATTCAGGGGGTCTAGGTAAATATACTTAGAGTATGAACTCAGCTTGCTTGTAAATAAATGGAATAAGACTAAAGGAACATGAATATATAGCTCTGTCGTCTAAACGAATAAGGGGGAAGGTGCGGTTCACTGGTCGCGTCTCGCGCCTTCCTGTTTCGTTGCTCTTGCGATTTCGTTCAGTGATCCCCCTCCCCTTTGTTGTTATTTATTTTCTTTTTACTTTCCCGTCACTTATTCCTTCTTTACTCCACGATCTTATTTCACTGTTTTATCAAACAAATGAACAAAATGACTAAACCAAATGAATCTGACGACCCTCTCCGTGAGCTGAAGCCGGGAGATGTTAAGCTTCTTATCTACGCAAGCCTGTGCCATAATGGCAGGGTCAGTCATCCCATCTATCTAACATCTCGTTATATCTATCTCATAATCTTATCCACATAGATTGACATGGAGAAGCTGGCTGGATACCTTGGTCAGAAGAAGTCTTCTGCCAGCACCAACTACTTCCGCGCCAAGGGCCGCTTCCAAGCCATTCTTAACGAACGCTCCCCACGAAAGTCGGCATCTGCCAATGCCGCTCCCAAGTCTGGGGCCGCTGGCGAGTCCATCAACCCTGCTAGTACCGATACCCCAGTGAAGAAGCCGCGTTCCCGCAAGCCTGCCTATGCTGCTTCCAAGGCAACGGCCGCTAGTGAGACCATCGGATCTGATGATACCGACCCCGGTACCCTAGTGAAGAAGCCGCGTTCCCACAAGCCTGCCGATGCATTCTCCAAGTTTAGGGACGCTGGTAAAACCATCGGATCTGATGATACCGACCCTGGTACCTCAGTTGAGAAGCCGCGTTCCCGCAAGCGTGCAGCAGCCAAAGATGCATCCTCTGGCGACGAAGCGGAAGCCAAGCGACGACGCCTGGCTCCCTGGGCTGCCTGGATTGCCTCCGTGGGTGACCCGGGGTCCCCTCCAACGACCGTTCCAAATTACACCCAGCAGGCCGCGTCTGAGCCTGAGGAATCTGTTCAAACGGGGATGGCCAACGAGGCCAGCGACCTGACCGAGTAAACCAATACTCGTGTCACCACGCCGCCTTGTATCAAAACTTCCCAAGAGTAACATGGAATGCAATGAATGAAATGAAGGAGTTGAATCTTGGGAATTGTCTTCTGTGGCGTCAATGTTCTCAGACATGGAAAGATTACTTTAACATGAAATTGTGGTTTTTAACTGAAACTCAGATCAAATCAAATAATTGGACAAGCACTTCACTTCCTACGTAACATTGAACCTTGCAAGGCAACCACTCTTTAGTTTGTAGACTAGTAGTATATGCACGGAGCAGATGGAAACTTAGGCTCTTATCTCAACGTTCTCATCTGTGGCGGCTAGAGAGCTAACTATGTCTTCGGAAGAGCTTACCAGAATCGTTTGATATTTTGAGAAAACCAAAACATTGTCCTGTCTGTTGTCATGCCATATACTGTCGATCCTCTCTTGGAAGTTCACGGGTTGCGCATCCCGAATATCAGAGCTAGCAATGTCACACGTTGAGGACAAGGGTGTCGATAATCTACTGGGTACTCAGCTCGGTGGTTGGGGATTGGGCAATGAGGGTTCTGACTATTTCAAGTTAGCTCTATATTTTTTCTTCATTATCTCCTTCTTTTAGGCTCCATTCCGAGAAGGGGAGGCAGAGACTTACTGCCTGAACATGTTGAAGTTCGTAGTCCCACCTATCGTATTTCAGGTCTAGGACCTTGACAATGGGGAACAAAAAGCAAGGTTGGGGACCTATTGTCTCGACCCTCCTCTCCTATTGAGAATATCACTTGACGAGAAATCAGAGACACCCTCAGAAATATCCAGGTTCTTCCTTTTAATTCCCAATTAGGCAATCACTGTCACTCTGCGCAGCGGTATAGACGCCAGGAGTCAAACCCCCATTTCTGGGCAATATCGATGGATTGATGTCTCATTTTCGGAAATATGACCAGGAGAATATTTAAGATATTTAAATTACTATTAAAAGAATAGTGGGCCGCATAAGCGGCCGTGTGATGCCTTTTTAGTAGTCTTTTTAGTAGTCTTTTTAGTAGTCTTTTTAGTAGTCTTTTTAGTAGTCTTTTTAGTAGTCTTTTTAGTAGTCTTTTTAGTAGTCTTTTTAGTAGTCTTTGTCTTTTCAGTAGTCTTTTCAGTAGTCTTTTCAGTAGTCTTTTCAGTAGTCTTTTCAGTAGTCTTTTCAGTAGTCTTTTCAGTAGTCTTTTCAGTAGTCTTTTCAGTAGTCTTTTCAGTAGTCTTTTCAGTAGTCTTTTTAGTAGTCTTCTCAGATACCATTTGGCTTAGATACAACATAGGTCGGCGGCAAAAAAAGGAAAAGGGCTTAATTTGTGCAAATGTCCTTTCAAGCTTTGATAGAGCAGTATAAGGAGCGGTCAAGAACCAGGCCAAAATGAGACATGAGATTATCTAGAAATGGGGGTTTGACCCCTAGCGTCTATACCACTGCATAGTCTGTCCATCTTTCCGGGTAAGTGCATTTTCTGCCCTCGACTTAAGTGCAAAACCTCAATCCTTTCCCACGCGCTTCTCAGTTCCCCTGTCTGCGTAATCTGACCGAAGCTGGAGCCGATGCCTTCGAAGGGTTCGGCCCATTGAGAGTAGTGTTGTATGTCGCACTACTATCAAGCACTTCCCAAACCATAGTACTATTTCCCTCTCGGTAGTCACTCGTCGGTGTCCCATGAGTCCGATACCCACCATGCGGCTTCAAATGCTTCTCACCAGTCGCAATATCCTTCCTCAAGAGTATTCTCTCAAACATCTCCAACGAAACCAACGGCTGGTAGAACGGCACTTCATGTCCGGACTCATAAATCCGCACAAAGCTAAACAAGTCACTCTGACGAACCTGTCCATGAACGACACCATCCGAAGTAGTGATATTCACAAAGCCAGCATGTTCATACCCCCGCGCATTGATCTCCTCCGCCACAACCTGTCCACCAAGCCAATTGCAGTTGTAATCGCTAGCACAAATTAGCGTAGTCTATAGTGATCCCACAGGAAGTCTTACGCATCTCCGAAATACAGCGAAACCTGCACTCCAGCTTCAAGCAACTTCCTCACAGCCTCAATGGTCCCGGACTCGCGATCGTCGTCGCCTGTGCTTCCAAACGCATTGCTCACGGTCCCGGATGACTCTGAGAAATTCTGATACGCTCCAATCGCAGCTTGCACTTTGGGACTGTTGAGATATTCGACGTAGAAAGAGTACGGGAATCGATCGGGCGACAATTCACGCATATCGTACTCGTCCCGACCGGAGTAGGTATCAAATAAGGACTCGACCTTATTAGCGCAGAAAGTGTCCGCGGCAGCGCAGATATCGGCTCGACCCGTTGCGTAACATTCTCGAGTTCGATCGACGCAGTTTCCTTCGCCGTAGAGGTTGTTGTACCATTCTGCCTGCACGGACTCGTTGTATGGATTGTAGTCGTATGTGTTTCCGGGGAAGACGGAGAAGTTGTAGTATGCCTGGTATTGAATTAATGGATCGAACCAGCCATTTCCAATTAGTACGTTCTCGAGATCGATCTTGATGGAGCCGTGGGGCTTTTTGGCGTTTTGTTCGACGAAGTATTCTATTCTAGAATTAGTGCCAGTCGCATGAATGTATTCTTGGGGCCTTACTGTTGAAGATTGGGCCATAGTGACCACCGTAACTCTCGGTGGCGAAATTGATGCCATTTCTTGAGTACTTCGGGAATGCGCCCATGAACCCTTGTAGTGTCTTCCACATATTCGGTGCCGCACTTGCTGTTGTATTAGGGACCAGGCCGATGTCAGGTTTGGAGTATGTGCCGCATGTTCCATATTTCTGTGCATAATCGGGGCATTCGTCGCTGGGTAACTGGACAATATTGCCATCGTCATCTTCGTAGGCTGGAATGGGAATTGTGTATGATAATCCAACTGTGGCAGGTTGATCGACGAAGAGCTGGCGAGAGTTGAGCTAGAGTCACAGCAAACACTAAGAAAAAAAAAGCAAACTTACCATATTGCTCACGTTGCTCCAAGAATAAGGGTTGTTGTATACACTGCCGTCGTGATCAACTCCGCATGGCCCTAATTCCTGGAATAATCCAATCATCGAAGACGATCCCGGTCCTCCATTGATCCAGACTGTAAGTGGTGCCTTTTGATTGTTAGCACTTTGGAAATGCACGAATATCGTCGGGACATACATCTTTAGGGTCTCCATTTCTAGCCTCAAAGAACCACCTGTGCTCGTCAGTCGCTGTCTAGGGCTCATCTCGAGGAATTATTACCAGAAAATATGCTCATTTTCACCAACATCGGCGTAACCAGAGTAACTTTTCACATTGGGGTCTTGTTCACAAATCCCAGCAGGCACTTCCTTATATCGCACATTGATGTCGGCATGTCCCTTCTTGGTGATCAAGTCCGTGGGGGCGGGTACAAATTGTGCCGCGGCAGAGTTCGCCAATACTGCCAATAAAAGCTTGGTATATAACATTTTGAATAGATTTCCCTAATCTTCAATTGGGGATTTAATACTATTTATTTAACTAAGATAACCCCTCTCGAAGGATCTCCACTATATATTGCCCTTCAATGGCAAGGCCAGAAACTACTAAGATCGTCCACAATTTGGTCTTTTTCGCCGACGGATCTCCGACTGAATGTCTCGTGAGCTCCGGAGGTGAGCGAATTGCTTATCTTTCAACTTTATTTGTGATTTTGGAAGGATTGCGACTTTTATTTTTGCCCCTTCATAGTTGGATTCTTTATCTTGTGTATAACCCGAACCCAATCATTATTCTTTATACATATCACGTATCTATAATATAATCTATCAAAATCGAGGGACTATATCAAAATTAAACCCTCTTGAATGGCAACCCATCGCCCTTGCCAGCATCAACCTGCACAAAGTACCAAATATGCGCCTCAAAGTCCGTCAACAACGGCAACCCAGTTCCAGTATTTCCGGCAAAGGAGACATCTCCCTCAATAACCTCAATATCAGAAGCGCTAACAGTAGCATTGTTAGGCGACGTGATCCAGTACTCAGGACTAACGTGAACATAACCCATAGTCAACAATGGCATCTTAGGGACCGGATCATTGGTGTGAGTGAACCGGTAGTTATTTCCCTGCGCCGTGATGTACGATGCCAAAGCTTTATTAGCCACGCGAGGCGAAGCATACGCGTACAGCTTAGCCGACGGGTATCCTTTGCCTCGGAGATCAGCGGCGGCAAGGGTAGCCACGGCGGCACCGAGGCTATGACCCACTACGACGAATTCGTAGTTGGGGTTCTGGGCGACGGCATCTTTCAGTTGTTTGATGACGTCGTCACGGACGAGTTTCCAGGAACTCCAGAAGCCGAGTTCGGCCAAGCAGCCCTTGCAGAGATCGGGGTCTGTGAATAGGAATGAGACATCGGTGAGCCAGTTGCGGATTGAGTACGAGCCGCGGAAGGAGAGGACGATTGCTGCGTTGGTGTGATCGACTGCGATGAAGCCAGCGGTATCGGTGATGGTGGTGCTGTATGTGTGTGAGTGTATTGTCTTGGTATAGATTCATTGGGTTGCTTACTCGGAGAAGTCATAGAATACAGTCGAGTCCGCTTGCTCCACTAGGGGACAGTTGCCTTTCGAACAGAGGATCTTGGCGCCCACTTGAGCCTTATAGACGTCGAGATAGTATGCCGCGGCGGCATACTGGACCCAGAAGTTGAATTGGGTCAGTTCGGTGGTCGAAACATCTAAGGATATGTGAGTGATATGTTCTATGTGGACTGGACAACGTATAAGATACCTCGAGGCTGCAGTTTACTGGGCAGGGCATGACCCAGCGAAACCACTGCGGATAGGGCTGTGAATAGAGAGAAACGCATAGTGTCGCGTGATCAACGTCCGTATCCTGTCGAGACTGAAAACACCCCGGTGGGAATCCCCGGCTTTATATGCTTGCGACGGATCCATATGGTTCCTCAATCCGCAATTGCGCAAGCCTTTTTTCGCAACGTAGGAACCCATATCATACAATGATCCATGGATACTACATGTGATGAAAAATTTGGGCACAGTTCAGCTCCCGGAGGATATTCCGGATTCGTACAAAGATCGACAAAATATAGATCACGCCCCTTGTTGCGATCCAATCGGCCAGAGATCGTGGGGGTAAGGTGGAGCTGAACCATCTCCGGTCAAATCCGGTATTGGAGTTAAGTGGATCGCGGGGGAATATTCAACTCCGAAAGATGATGTATGCTGGGGGAAATATGCTGGTGTCTGTGGAAATCGGACTTATCCCGAGCACATGAAAACGAATTGATCGGCAAGAAGCTTGACTTACTCGGCCCGAATATGTAGGGAAATATTTCAACACCCATTGCGGCGAGATCTATGTAGATCAACTGTTACTACTCGGTACAATAAATCCACAAAGCTTAGTCTGAGGGATTTTCTTTTGGGGGCTTTTTTCCCTGAAAATGAACTTGAATTCGTTAGCAATACTAGAGCTAATGGCCCAAACTTTTATTCGCCTTGTAGATTTCACATTAAACAACCATCCTTGATGCTAGAGTGCAAGTCGCTCATGCCCACCCGCACACGGCGATAGCCAGGACGGGAGCTTGGCTTCGCATTTCCCTTAGTTTTCAGGTTTTCCACACTGGGAGAGCCAGCCTGCGCATAGCTGATAGGAGTGGGTTTGACAGTAGCTGCAGTAGGTTCAAGGGCATAAACCTCAACCATCCATTCATACCAGACCTTCCGATCATCGGTTTGACGGTACATTGTGGCAACAATCTCGCCATTTTCGGGCACACTAAGTGGGGTCTAGGCAGCAAAGGTTAGTAACATGGAAATGATAAAAGCGAGAGAGTAACGCGGGTATTCCCGGAAACTAACCTTCAAGGGAAAGTAGATGGGGAACCAGCTGATCATGCTTGCACTCTTGGCATCCATGGTCACTGGATTGGTAGACAACTCCACATCGCCGTAGAGAACTGTTTCAAAGTAGCCGGCGAGACCGTGGCACACACCTCGGTTCTGGGAAGGGAAGGCTAGGCGTGTTTGGCGCACATTGTGGGCATTCGAGATGGTCGACTGCATGGCAGACTGGGGAGGAATGTGTCGGTTCGGGTGAGAGAAAGACCAGGCAGTCTGCACAAAGGGAGTGGGGAATTCAGTGGTGGAGAATGACGACGACGGGGTAGATGCCCTAGCTACATTGTTAGGGTTGGAGGTTTCACCACCAGCAGGCGTACCGGTCGTAGAGAGGAAGTCAATGGCGTGAAGCATCACGACGTATGGGGTCTCTGGGGCGGCCGGGTTGGACACCGTCTGGTGCACAACATCAGCATGCAATTTGGGGGCGGAAACCGGAGTGAAATGTGCCGAATATGAGGCTGGAATTGAAATGCCGTGGACGGGGTTGATCACGTCGTTCACACCATCCAAACACTCCGGAGAAAGCTCATTGTCCGCAAAGGAGCCCAACAGCTCCGAGACGAGGATATCAACATGGGTGTGGCACATGGCCGAACCCTGGGTCTCAGAACTTTCAGATGCCCCCTTCTTCGAGACAAGAGGTCCTTTCCAGCTTCGCATATCTGACTGGACCAGGGTGACCTTGCCACCCCAGATTGTGTCGTTGTGTCGCTGAAGCAACACAAACGCGTTCTGGTTCTTCTCCACAGCCCAAATATCAATCTCCACTCCAGCATCTGCGCTAGCCTTTAGCGCGCGAGTGACTAGTGGACCGCGACCAGCTCCTACAACGGCAACAATCACTTTTCCATCTGGGTGAGACGTGGCCTTTTTCTGGTCCGCCCAGTCTCTCAAGGCCTTACAAATTGCCTTCTCATACCACTCATATTTGATAGGGTCCTTTTCAAATACTTCATATGTGATACTCTCCAGGTTGACTGTCAGCGGCTGTAGAGGAGCCTGTAGATAGTCCTGGTATCCCACACCGAATCTCTCAATCGCTGTCCGCGGTGGCTGGCGCTGCTGCAGATTGCGAATATACGAGAGGTGGGGAGTGGGGTCGTGGTGCTTCTTGCCAGCCTGTGACAGACTTGGATAGTCAGACCCAGAGATCGAAGCCTTGTTGGTATCAGGGTCTTCGGTATTCTCAAGCCCAGGAATAGGACCAACGCCACAAAGGATAATCCACGGCGCAGTTCGAAGACGCATCATCTTCGCAATCAGACCTTGGTGTGCCTTGGACAAGACTGGGTATCCTTTCTGGTTCTTCAGGAACGTGGAGCCATCAATCGTCAATAAACGCACTGGTTCTGAATGCCATCGGGATTGCACATACAGGGACGGCAATTGCTTCGGCATAGAAAGGGCTACAGCTCAGATTAGCATTAGTTCAAAATATCGTGACATTGGTGATAGGCCATTAAAAGGAGGGGGTCTTACCAACGAGCAGTCTTGTGTGGTATTTGCAAGTCTTTCTGATTGAATCCCAGGCTTCCCAGGTACCAAACGGATCAACCTTGAGTGGAGCTCCCTCATCGGGCGCCAGGTATTCTGCCCGAGCAAGCGGGGCCAAGTCGCCCATAGTATCAACTTCGGCCTCTGGGTTGTCAACCATCTGCTGCCAAATATGGAACTGGATGTAGGGACCGAGGTCTAAGGCATCTTGAATCGCGCGCGCATAATAGATAACACCCTCGGCATGCAAGGAACCATGATGCAACTTCGGGCCAGGAATCAAAAGATATCCAATTCCGCAAAACGCAGCATACGCAACTTCCAACATCAGAACTTGCCGGGACAAATCTGCAATTAACGGGTCCGGTGAGCAAAGATCAATCCAGCTACTGATAACACCAACCAATTGACTGGTTGCTTCATTCGGGGTGAGATACGAGTCGGCCTTTGAGAGCGGCGGAACCACTATAGGCCGAGTGTTCTGGGTAGTACCCATGGTTCCAACAACATCGTAAGTTGGGGATTCCAGATTGGCCAAATAAGAGGACAATAGGCCAAGAACCCGCGAATGGAAATGGGAAGTCGTGATCGGGACAGTCATCATATCATACTATAATCAAGTTAGCAATCAAGGTAATGTCACAGGTGAGAGAAAGGACTGACATTGCTTTCGTGTACGTTTTGAATGACTCGAGGGGTCACAGTAACCAGTCTGTTGTGCTCATGGTGCCCAATGCAGAAAGATGGCCCTGGATCCTCAGAAGGATTGTAGCTTTCCATATTGATGGAGAAGTTCTGGCGCGATGGTGGGGGTGGTATGGAACTAGGGATGTGGATAAAAGCTGATGAGGAACGGAGCTACAAAACTTGTTATGAGGTGTTCCTATTCAAAGAAGCCACACGCCTCGGAGGAACCCAGAGAAGTCCAGACAAAAACACACAGAGCATCAACAAGCTCGAAGATTATCGATCCCTTTGTGGAGAGTGGCAGAATAGACTGGCGGTGAGCCTGATAGGCAGTTGTGGCGCTCGGGCGACCTTCCTTATCTCATATTTTTTTTCTTCCGTATCTCAGCATCTTCTCTCCGCCGAGTTTCCCTCTCAACACACCCTCCCTTTTCACCTCCACCATGTCTGATAACCGATCTGACTCTGAAGGTGGCTCGCGCGCAAAGCGCCAGAAGATGGATGGCGGAGACCCTAAGAATAACCCCTACCTCGCTCACATGTACGAGAACGAAAATGGCTCCGACAACGGGGCCCTGGCCAAGTTTAAGCGACACCAGACAACTTCAGCGATGGCGAAGAAGGCCGAAGATGGCGATATCAACCCTTTCAATGGCAGACCTTTTTCTAGCAAATATTTCTCAATTCTGAAGACCCGTCGCGATCTGCCCGTCCACCAGCAACGGTGAGTGCTGCCCGACAGCCATTCTAGAAATATGTACTAACCACTTTATCCAGTGATGAGTTCCTGCAACTCTACCAACAGTCCCAGATTCTTGTCTTTGTCGGTGAGACTGGTTCCGGAAAGACCACACAGATCCCGCAATTCGTCCTCTACGATGATCTCCCCCAAACCCAGGGCAAAATGGTCGCCTGTACGCAACCCCGTCGTGTGGCTGCTATGTCCGTCGCCCAACGTGTGGCGGCTGAGATGGACGTCAAGCTTGGAGAGGAAGTCGGTTACAGTATCCGTTTCGAAGATATGACCGGCCCAAAGACCATCATGAAGTACATGACTGATGGTATGCTTCTTCGCGAGGCTATGAACGATCCCAACCTGTCGCGTTACAGCACAATCATGCTTGACGAGGCTCACGAGAGAACCATGGCGACAGATATCCTGATGGGTCTTTTGAAGGAAGTTGTAGTGCGTCGGCCTGACTTGAAGATCATTATCATGTCTGCTACTCTGGATGCGCAAAAGTTCCAGCGCTACTTCATGGATGCACCCCTCCTCGCAGTTCCTGGTCGTACCCACCCCGTCGAGATCTTCTACACCCCCGAGCCTGAGCAAGATTACGTCGAGGCTGCAGTTCGGACTGTGCTCCAAATCCACGCCACCGAAGCTGAGGGAGATATTCTTCTTTTCTTGACTGGTGAAGAAGAGATTGAGGATGCTGCCCGGAAAATCGCGCTCGAGGGAGATGAGATGATTCGCGAGGCCGACGCTGGTCCTATCAAGGTCTACCCTTTGTACGGTAGTCTTCCTCCTCACATGCAACAGCGCATCTTCGATCCTGCACCACCTCCACGCCGGCCAGGCGGCCGCCCCGGGCGCAAGGTCATTGTGTCCACCAACATTGCCGAAACATCTCTGACCATCGATGGTATCGTGTACGTTGTGGATCCTGGATTCTCCAAGCAAAAGATTTACAACCCCCGCATTCGTGTCGAGTCACTCCTCGTTTCCCCCATCTCCAAGGCCTCCGCACAGCAACGAGCTGGTCGTGCCGGTCGTACACGTCCCGGAAAGTGCTTCCGCCTTTACACTGAGGGCGCATTCAAGAAGGAATTGATCGAGTCAACTTATCCCGAGATTCTTCGGTCAAACTTGTCTTCAACGGTGCTGGAACTGAAGAAGCTTGGTGTTGATGATCTCGTGCACTTCGATTTGATGGACCCGCCTGCTCCCGAGACTCTGATGAGAGCATTGGAAGAACTGAACTACTTGGCTTGTCTGGACGATGATGGAAACCTTACTCAACTGGGTCGTCTCGCATCCGACTTCCCTCTCGACCCCGCCCTCGCTGTCATGCTGATCAGCTCTCCCGAATTCTACTGCTCTAATGAAATCCTTTCCATCACCGCGCTTCTGTCTGTGCCCCAGGTCTTCGTTCGTCCCGCTGCCCAGCGCAAGCGTGCCGACGAGATGAAGAACCTGTTCGCCCACCCCGACGGAGATCACCTGACAATGCTGAACGTCTACCACGCATACCGCAGCAGCGCCGCCCAGGCAAACCCCAAGCAGTGGTGCCACGACCACTTCCTCTCCCACCGTGCCCTCCAGTCCGCCGATAACGTCCGCTCCCAGCTGCTGCGCATCATGGAACGCCAGGATCTTGACATGGTCTCCACTCCTTTCGAGGACAAGAAGTACTACGAGAACATCCGTCGCGCCCTTTGCGCCGGTTTCTTCATGCAGGTCGCGAAGAAGGACACTGGCGGCAAGAGCCAATACCTTACCATCAAGGACAACCAGAACGTGCTCCTGCACCCGTCCACCGTCTTGGCCCACGAGGCCGAGTGGGTCTTGTATAACGAATTCGTTCTCACTACCAAGAACTACATCCGTACTGTCACTGCAGTCAAGCCAGAATGGCTTTTAGTATGTTTCCATTCCTCCTTATACTCACTATTCATTTAACTAACTCCTTTCCAGGATATCGCCCCTACATACTACGATATCAGCAGTTTCCCCAAGGGTGACATCCGCTCTGCCCTTACTCGGGCTGCTGATCGCCTCGCGCACAAGGAGAAGATCCGTGCCGCGAAGCGTCGCTAGACCATTTGTTTTTGTTCAGCCTAGAATTTACGCATGATACGCTTGCTTATCTTTTCATCACGATGTCAATACATTGAATAGAATTTTTGCTTTTCTTATTCTATGCCATATCATACTCCCCGAATAACTCTTTTCTGGCATTGCCTTCGACCATTGTAGGTCTATCCAGACCTACCAACTTTGAGAGACTGTATTAAAATCTCGATGAAATATTCCAAATTCAATCTATCGAAAGGCCCAGGCCTGATGTACAGGAACAACATGAAATTTTCAGCCAATGCCTTGGGCTGGTTAATACATTCAGGGCTGCTTGCCCAAGGTGTTCATGTATGCTCTATTGGAAACAAATGTAGTCATTTAATATACAAAAAAAGATTCTCAGATACGGACAATCAATGCCCGTGCATTCAGAGACGAAGAGAATCCACAACTCAGCTAGCAAATAACGTAGCCTCGGCAACAGGAGCTGTGCTTTTCACTGCTGGTTGATCTGTGCTGGTTTCTCGCTGCCTGCTTCGCTTGGTTGGTTTCCGTGGAGACGAAGATGAGGTTTGAGATCTGGCGAGGCTGATTCTAGTGGAAGTTCTAGTGAAATTGCGACTTAGTTGTGGGGTTTGTGGTTGCGAGGTTTTGAGGGGTGTGATGGTTTCGGCGGATGGAGGGAGGTTTTCTTCGGTGGTCGGATTGTGGGAGTCTTTTGTGGAGGGGTCTGAGATGTGGTGTTTGCGAAGCTCATAGATAAGTTCGCGGAGTTGGGCAACCTCGCCCTTAAGCGTGGAAATGTCTTCATTTACAGTGTTGCCGGCAGGTGTTTGTTCCTCGCCGGAGGCTGGCGCTCGGCCACGTCCAAGGGCAGTAAAAAGGGCATTGTCTGCATGCTGGTCGGCCAATTTGGCATTGCGTCGCGCGAAGGTGTTCTCTGCCGGCGCCTCAATTTTGCTCAGGTATTCCCCGAAGGTGTTTCCAAAGTCATAACACTTCTGCCACAAGGGGCGGTCAATGTTCTCCCTTGGTGTTTGCTTGGCAGCCTTAGACCACCGCTTGGGATCAGCATGAACGAAAGGTCCCGAGTCCGACTGTCGTGATAAAAGTCTTGGATCAAAGCCACTATGCACGGCGGCTCTCACCAATGCATCCGACGCATCTAGTCGGTCGCAGGAGTCGCAGAGGCCGACCATTCGCCCAAGCAATCTCTCCACTGAGTCGACCCGGTGGTCTGTTGATGACAAGAGGTAGGTAACGGCTCGTTTCAAAACGTTCACGCCCTTATCCCAATCTCGTCGGAGGCTGTAAAACCGGAGATAGGTAAACAGTGTTTCCCAACTATCAAAGAAACCACCACCCCGTGCAGCTTGAAGCCAAGCGTCAGCTCGATCGGGCTGGTCGAAGCGTAATGCGGCTCCTATCAGGGCGGCATAGATGACTGGATTGCTGCTGTTTAAAGATGGAACAATGAGATCCATACCATTGACCGTTCGGTGCTTATAAACCCCCCTACTCCCTAGGTTGACGGAGTATCCTTCTCCGCCAAGCATTTTCAAGAACAAATCGAAATCCTTAAGATTTTTCGATTTTCTGAAGAAGGTGATGATTGTAATCACGAGCGAAGGGTTGAGGAAGAACCGGTTCGGCAATAATGTGCGCAAAAGCAGCTCGACTAGGTCATTTTGGCGTGTCTGGCCAAATGCCATGATCATAAGCCGGAAAGCTGTCGGTCGATCCGGGTCCCTCGAGCTCAAGATGTTGTTGGAAATCCGCATGAGCAGTTCCTGAAGAGACATCTGTTGACTCGTGTATACTTGAATGTCATTGGTGAGTTCGGCATCGAGAGCCTCGCGCTCTCTTTGCATCTCGCCCAATTGGCTTGCAGCATAGTCCTGCGTGATATCACTGTATGTGGCGTGTCTGTTCGTTTTCAAGGCGTTCATTCGATGGCGAAGATGATTAAGCTCCTCCAGGAGCTGTGAGACGTTTACCTGGGGAGTTTCAAAATCCGCGGCGTAGTTCATCGAGACGCCCGAGTAACGATGTGCGATGGCCGGTCGTAACAAAATCCGGATAGCAAATTGCCTCAAAGCAAGCTTCTGAATTGCCTTCATACGAAGATCATCCTCCAAAACCCAGCTAGGTAATGTTTCCTGCGGAAGGAAGATCTCGCTCTCATCCTGCTCATCAATTGTGTGTTCGTCCTCCTCAGCCGGCTGATTTTCCACCATCCGAGCTCCGACCGCGTTGAATCGTGTTCTTTCTGTGTGGAAGGCTCTTATTCTGT